TTCTCGCCCGACCGGAACTGCGACTTTGAGTCACGAGGCGGCCGCGCCTCGCTGCTGGAACGTCCGAGTGACGTTGCGTCCAAGCCAGCGCCGTGAAATGCGACGATGGTCTCCGTGGGGGTCTATGGGTCTCTGTGTGAGTCTATGGGTCTCTGTGCGAGTCTGTGGGTCTCTGTGCGAGTTTGTGGGTCTCTGTGTGAGTCTATGGGTCTCTGTGCGAGTCTATGGGTCCTGTGCGAGTCTGTGGGTCTCTGTGTGAGTCTATGGGTCTCTGTGTGAGTCTATGGGTCTCTGTGCGAGTCTATGGGTCTCTGTGTGAGTCTATGGCTCTCTGTGTGAGTCTGTGGGTCTCTGTGTGAGTCTATGGGTATCTGTATGAGTCTATGGGTCTCTGTGCGAGTCTATGGGTCTCTGTGCGAGTCTATGGGTATCTGTGTGAGTCTATGGGTCTCTGTTTGAGTATATGGGTCTCTGTGCGAGTCTATGGGTCTCTGTGTGAGTCTATGGGTCTCTGTGTGAGTCTATGGGTCTCTGTGTGAGTCTATGGGTCTCTGTGTGAGTCTATGTGTCTCTGTGTGAGTCTATGGGTCTCTGTGTGAGTCCGATACAATGAGGTATCATTCAGCACCTACCCTACCTGCATGCACACGCGGGTGGCCGGGTTCGTAGCGCAGTGCGCTAACCACTACGCCGTTGCTCCCCTCCCTCTCCCCCGTCAAAGACTGCAGTTCCCCCACGTGAATGTTGTTGTTGTTGACTAAACCTTGGTGAGAATCTCTAAGAGATTTATAGGGGAGAGAGGGGGGAGTCTTATTTGTAAGGGGGGGGGGGGGGGGCTCGGCAAAGTTAAACAAATTCGGACACAAAAGGAACGGTCACGTGAGATGATTCTTTCAAACCGCTTCTTGTTGTTGTGTTCAGTTTGTTGTCCTTAACCCCCCCCACCCCCCCCCCCCCTGGCACATCCGATTAGCACGGTTGGCTACGTGCGGTGGCACAGAACGTGAACAATTCGTACGGTGGCACAGAACGTGAACAATTCGTGCGGTGACACAGAACGTGAACAATTCGTGCGGTGACACAGATCGTGAACAATTCGTGCGGTGACACAGAACGTGAACAATTCGTGCGGTGACACAGAACGTGAACAATTCGTGCGGTGACACAGATCGTGAACAATTCGTGCGGTAACACAGATCGTGAACAATTCGTGCGGTGACACAGAACGTGAACAATTCGTGCGGTGACACAGATCGTGAACAATTCGTGCGGTGACACAGAACGTGAACAATTCGTGCGGTGACACAGATCGTGAACAATTCGTACGGTGGCACAGATCGTGAACAATTGGTGCGGTGACACAGATCGTGAACAATTCGTGCGGTGACACAGATCGTGAACAATTCGTGCGGTGGCACACAGCACCCGGCGGCACACCACAGCGATCCCTCGAGTCGATCCCCAGCCAACAGCCCAACATCAATCGATTTTGTCGTGAGAGGGGACCCAGGAGACCCAGGGGAAATGAGAACCCCTATCCCCTGGGCCTCCCCTAGGTCGACTCAGCCTCAAGTGAGTACCTGGTGCGATGTGCGTGTAAACATCGCCGCTAAGGGAGACAAAGGCGTCCGGGCGTGACCGCTGACCACCCCGTCGTGCACTGCTCCTGGCCTTCAGGGGTGCTGCTACTCGCTGACAGCACTTGCCCCAATTGGCTACACGGGGGGGGGGGTTGGGTCTTTTTTGAGATTGGTGGGCGTGAGACGAAGCGAATGCACCACCTCCAAACACCTCCAAACACCCCCCCGCTCCCTCCCCCTGCGAGTTCAGGGATGTCGTCTTGAGCGGGCGAAGTTTGAAGCTTCGACGAAGTTCTCGCGAGTGGCTGCTGCTGCTAGTGCTGCTGCTGTTGTTGTGAGCGGTCGGATTGACGATCTCCTCCCGGTACAAGTGAGTTGTCTCACGCGCTCACACACACACACGCGCACAGACGCGGCACATACCTTTCGGACGATAGGATTTGTCATTTTGAAAGTAAAAAAAAATCGACGATGCGTCTCATGGACCCGGTGGGCTGTGTGTTGTGCGCGTGTGAGGAGCGTGAAACGACCGGTGCTGGACACCCTCCACCCCCTCGTGTGACACAGCGCCGGCCTCCGCAGGTGCTCGCTAACAGCACTTGCCCCGGCAGTCTGTTAGAGGCTACACGGGGGATCTTTGTCTTTGTCTCCTTCATAGGCGCTGCTGCTGCTACTCGCTGCTAACAGCACTTGCCCCAACAGTCTGTTAGAGGCTACACGGGGGACCTTTGTCTTTGTCTCCTTCATAGGCGCTGCTGCTGATACTCGCTCACAGCACTTGCCCCAACAGTCTGTTAGAGGCTACACGGGGGACCTTTGTCTTTGTATCCTTCATAGGCGCTGCTGCTGCTCGCTAACAGCACTTGCCCCGACAGTCTGTTAGAGGCTACACGGGGGATCTTTGTCTTTGTCTCCTTCATAGGCGCTGCTGCTACTCGCTAACAGCACTTGCCCCAGCAGTCTGTTCGAGGCTACACGGGGGATCTTTGGACTCTGCATGTTGTGTGGGGAGCGGTGGCGCAGCGGTTAGCGCGCCGCGCTGCGAGCCCGGCAAAATGCCAGTGGCGATTATCTGAATCGGTCCTCGGGCCTCCCTCCCCTAGGTCGACTCGGCCTCAAATGAGTACCTGGTGCGGTGTGTCGTAAACGTCGCCACTGGGGGAGACAAAGGCGGCCGGGCGTGGTGCTGGCCACCCACCCCCTCGTGTACCGCAGTGCCGGCCTTCATAGATTGCTACTCGCTAACAGCACTTGCCCCTACAGTCTGTTGAGGGCTATACGGGGGATCTTTGTGCGCGCGTGTGTGTGTGTGTGAGAGAGAAGATTTGTAGAGCTTTATTTGTACAACTTTATTTGTAGAACTTTATCAACACGTAATGTTGTGCCTTGCGTCTTCCTCTCCGGAGCCTCTTACAATTGCGGTGCGATCATCCCCGGTCGACACTCTCTCTCTCCCTGTGTGTCTCTCTCCCTGTGGTGAGATGTTAACTACCTCGCCTGGTGTACAGGAGATCGTGGGTTCACCTCTGACCCTGACGCCTGCTGCTGCTGTATATTTGGAGTTTGCGTGTCTCTCTCCCTGTGGTGAGATGTTAACTACCTCGCCTGGTATACAGGAGGTCGTGGGTTCACTCCTGACCCTGACGCCTGCTGCTGTATATTTGGAGTTTGTGTGTCTCTCTCTCTCTCCCTGTGGTGAGATGTTAACTACCTCGCCTGGTATACAGGAGGTCGTGTGTTCACTCCTGACCCTGACGCCTGCTGCTGCCGCTGTATATTTGGAGTTTGCGTGTCTCTCTCTCTCTCCCTGTGGTGAAATGTTAACTACCTCGCCTGGTATACAGGAGGTCGTGGGTGTCTCTCTCCCCGTGGTCGCGTGGATTTTGTTCCGAGTCCTCGGGGTGTTTCACCTCCACATTTAGGATCGTAGCGCACGTGCACAACTTCTATCGCACCGCACGCAGCCAACCGCGCTATTCGGAGGTGTGGGGGGAAGGACAGCAAGCACTAAACACGGGCATCCGTTCTCAAGAAATAAACTTCTCAATGTAGACTTAAAGAGCGTATGGCAACAGTGGCGTCTCGAGTGGTTTTGCCGTTGCTATAATGTCCCACCTGATGACGACAAGCCACTACGTTGAGCTATCATTTGCGATAAGCCAGGTCGCTTCTGACAAAGGGCTTTGACTACACAGCGCGGTGGGGTCTTACCCTGGTAAATATATAATAAAATAGTCGAGAGTTTACTGGGTTATGATAACTCATTGTACGTGGCCAACCGATTAGCACGGTCGGCTACGTACGGTGCGAAAGAAGTTCAACATACGTACATTGAGAATACACGGGATGGTTTTTCAAGAGGAAATCTGAGTTTGGTTGGGGGGGGGGGAGCTGGGAGGGGGGTCTGCCCCCCCACCTAAACCCCGACCCCCACTTGTCTAATTCAGTGAAAGCTCATGGTCCACCCTGATGACGATTTCACGATTGGACAATGAAGACCCTCTCCACAATAGTGGTGGTGGTGGTGGTGTACAGGTGGTGCGGACTGTGGTCATGCAGAACAGACCGTCGTTAACAACAACAATCACAACAATAACATCGACATTGCCACTCCACCGCCGACACCACCGCTCCACCGCCGACACCACAACTCCACCGCCGACACCACAACTCCACCGCTCCACCGCTGACACCACCACTCCACCGCTGACACCACCACTCCACCGCCGACACCACAACTCCACCGCTCCACCGCTGACACCACCACTCCACCGCCGACACCACAACTCCACCGCTCCACCGCTGACACCACAACTCCACCGCCGACACCACAACTCCACCGCCGACACCACAACTCCACCGCTCCACCGCTGACACCACCACTCCACCGCCGACACCACAACTCCACCGCTCCACCGCTGACACCACAACTCCACCGCTGACACCACCACTCCACCGCCGACACCACAACTCCACCGCTCCACCGCTGACACCACAACTCCACCGCCGACACCACAACTCCACCACTCCACCGCTGACACCACAACTCCACCGCTGTCACCACCGCTCCACCGCTGACACCACAACTCCACCGCCGACACCACAACTCCACCGCTGTCACCACCGCTCCACCGCCGACACCACAACTCCACCGCTCCACCGCCGACACCACAACTCCACCGCCGACACCACAACTCCACCGCTCCACCGCTGTCACCGCCACGCCGCCGCTGCCCCTGACGTGGCTGCCTTCCGACGTGGCCGCTACCGGCCACGTGGATTTGGGATTGTGGATTCGTCGCTTCGCGTGCGTTCGCAAGAAGAGACGATGACGAAGCGACACTTTGGTAGCAATACGGTGGCGGTGGTGGGGGCTGTGTGGTGCTGCGTTTCCTCTCCGCTGGTGGCACGCAGGCGAGCGGTTGTTTGGTGGTGATCCGAGGGGTGACGATGGCGAGGCCCGCCAAGGAGAAGTATTCCCTCGTGGGGAACGAGGAGGAGGATGAGGTTGGAGGAGGTGGTGGAGGAGGTGGTGGAGGTGGCTCCGATTGCCAGGTGGCGCTTCAAGGGGGCGAGGCGTGCGCCGGCGAGCCGCCTGGCCCGGGGGAGAAATGCAGGTGAGGGGGGGGTGGGGGGGGTGAGGGGGGGGGTGGGGGGGTGGGGGGGATGGAGGGGGGGGTGGGGGGGTGAGGGGGGGTGGAGGGGGTGAGGGGGGGTGGGGGGTGGGGGGGTGAGGGGGGTGGGGGGGTGAGGGGGGTGGGGGGGGGGGGGGGGTGAGGGGGGGTGGGGGGGGTGAGGGGGGGTGGGGGGTGGGGGGGTGAGGGGGGGGTGGGGGGTGTGAGGGGGGGTGGGGGGGTGAGGGGGGTGGGGGGATGTGGGGGGTGGAGGGGGGGTGGGGGGGGTGAGGGGGGGTGGGGGGTGAGGGGGGTGGGGGGTTGAGGGGGGGTGGGGGGATGTGGGGGGTGGAGGGGGGGTGGGGGTCGGGGGAGGAGTGTTTGTTGTGGTGGGGGGTGTTTGGGGGGTGGGGGGGGATGCGGGGGGTGGGGGGTACTGGGGGGTATTGGGGGGTGGGGGCTATTGGGGGGTGGGGGGTATTGGGGGGTGGGGCACTGCAGTGACGGCGCTGGGAATTCGAAAAATTGAGCAACTCAGCAAAATCGCGTACCTGTGTGTGTACCTGTGTGTGTGTACCTGTGTGTGTGTACGTGTGTGTGTGTGTACCTGTGTGTACCTGCGTGTGTGTACCTGTGTGTGTTAGTGTGTGTGTACGTGTGCGTACCTGTGTGAGTACCTGTGTGTGTGTACTTATGTGTGTGTACCTGTGCGTGTACCTGTGTGTGTAAGTGTGTGTGTGTAAGTGTAGCGGGAGCGGTGGTGTAGCGGTTAGCGCTATGCTGCGCTATGAACCTGGCGACCCAGGTTCGATTCCCGCTCACGGCCAACACCAGTGACGATTATCTGAACCGGTCCCGGGCCTCCCCTAGGTCGACTCAGCTTGAAATGAGTACCTGGTGCGGTGTGTAAACATTGCCACTAGGGAGACAAAGGTGGTCGGGCGTGGTGCTGGCCACCCACCCCCTCATGTACCGTTCCGGCCTTCATAGGTGTTCGCTAACAGCACTTGCCCCAACAGTCTGTTAAGGCTATATGGGGGATCTTTTATCTTTGTGTGCAAGTGTGTGTACCTGTGTGTGTGCACCTGTGTGTGTGTGTGCCTGTGTGTGTACCTGTGTGTGTACCTGTGTGTGCGTTTGTGCACAGACAGCCATATATGACATCATAACAACAATCTGGACCACTGGACGGGTTCCGCAGGATTGGAAGGATGCCCTGGTGGTCCCCCTCTTTAAAAAGGGGGACCGCACAGACTGTAACAACTACAGGGGCATCTCACTCCTCAGTGTGCCGGGAAAGGTCCTGGCAAGGATTATTCAACATCGCCTTGCCAGGCACGCTGAGGAGAGGCTTGCGGAGCCCCAATGCGGTTTCAGGAAAGGGCGGTCCTGCACAGATGCCATTTTTTCTGTCCGTCTGCTACAGCAGAGGTGTAGGGAATTCCAACAAGACCTACATCTCTGCTTTATTGACCTGGTCAAGGCCTATGATACCATCAGTAGGCCTGGGCTCTGGGTTGTTCTTCGTGCTTTGGAGTCCCTGACCCTCTGCTCACGATCATTAAGGACCTTCATGATGGTGAGCGGGCCCGGGTAAAACTACGTGGCCGGGAGTCAGAGCCATTCCCTGTATACCTTGGGGTGCGACAGGGATGTCCTTTGGCTCCCACATTATTTAACATCTATTTTGACCACGTAGTTTGTGAAGCCTTCAATAGCTGTACCGGGGGAATCTCCATTTGGTACAGGTATAATGGGAGGTTGATCGATGCCCGGGTGCGGTCAAGGGATGGCTCCCTATTGCTCAACCACGTTATGTATGCCGATGATTTGGTAATAGCTGCTCATTCAGAGGAGGAGTTGGAGACGCTGCTGCTGAGACTGGAGCGTGCCACTAAGAGATGGGGCCTTACCATCAGCCCCACCAAAACGAAGCACCTGCCTGGGTATTTTGTACCATCGGACACTCCACCCCCACAACTCCCAATCGGTGATGGGGCAGTTGTGGAGAGAGTGGAGAGTTTCCCATACCTGGGCAGTGTGCTTATGACTGGCTCCAGTTTAACAGCAGAGGTCTCACTCCGAATCAGTCGAACGGCAATATCTTTTAATCGGTTGTGTAACGCTGTGTGGAAGCTACCTGGTCTGTCGCTCCACACTAAGCTTTAGGTCTTCTCGGCCACGGTCATTCCCTCCCTTCTATACGCTTGCGAAACGTGGACCCCCTTAATGGAGCATCTTCGCCGGTTGGAAACATTTAGGCTGGCCTGCCTACGATCCATCCTGGGTTTAACCAGGCTGGATTGTGTGAGAAGCTCACGAATCCTTGAAATATCTGGGCAAGGTCCTATCGGTGAGCTCCTCCGGCAGGCAAGGCTGCGTTGGCTGGGTCATGTAGCCCGCATGCCCAGCCACCGCATGCCGAAACAGCTTTTCTTCGGCCGGATCGAGGGGGCTAAACGGGCGCGGCACGGGCTAGAGAAGAGATGGAGTGATGTGGTACAGGAGGACGTGGAGCTGAGTGGACTTGCCGATGACTGGTACCAGCGGTGTCAAGATCAGCCTCTGTGGAGGAGGCTCGTGAAGGACGCTATTGGGCAGTTGGAGGCAGTCGCCTTCCAACAACAACGGAGGGCAGAGGAGCGACGCTCACAACAAGGAGCGGAGCGCCGGGTGGCTAAAGCACAGCAGGTTGGCACAGTAGGGGGCACAGGTGGTGCATCAGCTAGTCATCTCAGTCATCTCAGTCAGTCGACCCGTGGCACCTGGGTCTGCCCGTGACCTCCTGCCAGCAGGCGTTCGACACTTCAAGTTGCCTCAAGGTGCACATGGCCTGGCACAAGCGTCGTGGTGACGTCACCGCCAATTAGTGGTGAATGGCGGTTGTTGTTGTTGTTGTTGTGTGCCTGTGTGTGTACCTGTGTGTGTAGGTGTGTGTGCACCTGTGTGTGTGACTGTGGGTGTGTGCGGTGGTGCAGTGGTTAGCGCTACGCTGCTCTACGAACCTGGCGACCAGGGTTCGTTTCCCGCTCACGGCCAACACCCAGTGACGATTACATGAACCGATTATGGGCCTCCCCTAGGTCGACTCAGCCTCAAATGAGTACCTGGTGCGCTGTGTAGTAAACATCGCCACTGGGGAGACAAAGGCGGTCGGACGTGGTGCTGGCCACCCGCCCCCACGTGTGCCGAGTCGGCCTTCATAGGTGCTGCTGCTACTCGCTAAAAGCACTTGCCCCAACAGTCTGTTAGAGGCTACACGGGGGATCTTTGTCTTGTTCTTTGTCCGTGCGCGTGCGCGCTTGGTGCAGCGAGGACACGGACACACTTCGTCTGGGGAAAAGTCGTGAAAATTACAGAGAGACTCATAGAGACCCACAGAGACACACAGAGTCTCATAGAGACCCATTGAGACTCATAGAGACCCATAGAGACTCATAGAGACCCATAGAGACTCATAGAGACCGACAGAGACACACAGAGACCCATAGAGACTCATAGAGACCCATAGAGACTCATAGAGACACATAGAGACCCATAGAGACCCATAGAGGCTCATAGAGACTCATAGAGACCCATAGAGATCCATAGTCTGTTAGAGGCTACACGGGGGATCTTTGTCTTGTTCTTTGTCCGTGCGCGTGCGCGCTTGGTGCAGCGAGGACACGGACACACTTCGTCTGGGGAAAAGTCGTGAAAATTACAGAGAGACTCATAGAGACCCACAGAGACACACAGAGTCTCATAGAGACCCATTGAGACTCATAGAGACCCATAGAGACTCATAGAGACCCATAGAGACTCATAGAGACCGACAGAGACACACAGAGACCCATAGAGACTCATAGAGACCCATAGAGACTCATAGAGACACATAGAGACCCATAGAGACCCATAGAGGCTCATAGAGACTCATAGAGACCCATAGAGATCCATAGAGACCCATAGAGACCCATAGAGATCCATAGAGACACATAGAGACCCATAGAGACTCATAGAGACTCATAGAGACCCATAGAGATCCATAGAGACCCATAGAGACTCATAGAGACCCATAGAGACACACAGAGACACACAGAGACCCATAGAGATCAATAGAGACACATAGAGACCCATAGAGACCCATAGAGACTCATAGAGACCCATAGAGATCCATAGAGACCCATAGAGACCCACAGAGACTCATAGAGACCCATAGAGACCCATACAGACACAGAGACTCATAGGGACCCATAGAGACCCATAGAGACCCATAGAGACTCATAGAGACCCATAGAGACCCATAGAGACCCATAGAGACACATAGAGACCCATAGAGACCCATAGAAACTCATAGAGACTCATAGAGACACATAGAGACCCATAGAGACCCATAGAGACTCATAGAGACCCATAGAGATCCATAGAGACCCATAGAGACCCATAGAGATCCATAGAGACACATAGAGACCCATAGAGACCCATAGAGACTCATAGAGACTCATAGAGACCCATAGAGATCCATAGAGACCCATAGAGACCCATAGAGACTCATAGAGACCCATAGAGACACACAGAGACACACAGAGACCCATAGAGATCCATAGAGACTCATAGAGACCCACAGAGACTCATAGAGACCCATAGAGACCCATACAGACACAGAGACCCATAGAGACCCATAGAGACCCATAGAGACCCATAGAGACCCATAGAGACTCATAGAGACACATAGAGACCCATAGAGACCCATAGAGACTCATAGAGACTCATAGAGACACATAGAGACCCATAGAGACCCATAGAGACTCATAGAGACCCATAGAGACTCATAGAGACTCATAGAGACCCATAGAGATCCATAGAGACCCATAGAGACCCATAGAGACTCATAGAGACCCATAGAGACACACAGAGACACACAGAGACCCATAGAGATCAATAGAGACACATAGAGACTCATAGAGACCCATAGAGACCCATAGAGACCCATAGAGACTCATAGAGACACATAGAGACCCATAGAGACCCATAGAGACTCATAGAGACTCATAGAGACACATAGAGACCCATAGAGACCCATAGAGACTCATAGAGACCCATAGAGACTCATAGAGACTCATAGAGACCCATAGAGATCCATAGAGACCCATAGAGACCCATAGAGACTCATAGAGACCCATAGAGACACACAGAGACACACAGAGACCCATAGAGATCAATAGAGACACATAGAGACCCATAGATACCCATAGAGACTCATAGAGACCCATAGAGATCCATAGAGACCCATAGAGACCCACAGAGACTCATAGAGACCCATAGAGACCCATACAGACACAGAGACTCATAGGGACCCATAGAGACCCATAGAGACCCATAGAGACTCATAGGGACCCATAGAGACCCATAGTGACTCATAGAGACCCACAGAGACCCACAGAGACCCATAGAGACTCATAGAGACTCATTGTGACCCATAGAGACCCATAGAGACCCATAGAGACCCATACAGACACACAGAGACTCATAGAGACCCACAGAGACCCATAGAGACCCATAGAGACCCATAGAGATCCATAGAGACGCATAGAGACCCATAGAGACTCATAGAGACCCATAGAGACCCATAGAGACTCATAGAGACCCATAGAGACCCATAGATACCCATAGAGACCCATAGAGACCCATAGAGATCCATAGAGACCCATAGAGACCCATAGAGACCCATAGAGACCCATAGAGACTCATAGAGACACATAGCGACTCATAGAGACCCATAGAGACACACAGAGACACATAGAGACTCATATATACACATAGAGACCCATAGAGACCCATAGAGACCCATAGAGACTCATAGAGATCCATAGAGACCCATAGAGACCCATAGAGACCCACAGAGACCCATAGAGACTCATAGAGACCCATACAGACCCACAGAGACCCATAGAGACCCATACAGACACACAGAGACTCATAGAGACACACAGAGACTCACAGAGACCCATAGAGACCCATAGAGACCCATACAGACCCACGGAGACCCATACAGACCCACAGAGATCCATAGAGACACATAGAGACCCATAGAGACACATAGAGACACATAGAGACCCATAGAGACCCATAGAGACCCATAGAGACACATAGAGACCCATAGAGACTCATAGAGACCCATAGAGACCCATAGAGACACACAGAGACCCATAGAGACACACAGAGACCCATAGAGACTCATAGAGTTCCATAGAGACCCATAGAGACCCATACAGACACACAGAGACTCATAGAGACCCATAGAGACCCACAGAGACCCATAGAGACCCATACAGACACACAGAGACTCATAGAGACACACAGAGACCCATAGAGACCCATAGAGACTCATAGCGACCCATAGAGACACACAGAGACCCATAGAGACTCATAGCGACACACAGAGACTCACAGAGACCCATAGAGACCCATAGAGACCCATAGAGATCCATAGAGACCCATAGAGACCCACAGAGACTCATAGAGACCCATAGCGACCCATACAGACACACAGAGGAGTCTCACAGAGACCCATAGAGACCCATAGAGACTCATAGCGACTCATAGAGACTCATAGAGACCCATAGAGACTCATAGAGACTCATAGAGCCTCATAGCGACACATAGAGACTCATAGAGACCCATAGAGACCCATAGAGATCCATAGAGACCCATAGAGACCCACAGAGACCCATAGAGACCCATAGAGACTCATAGAGACCCATAGAGATCCATAGAGACCCATAGAGACCCATAGAGATCGATAGAGACACATAGAGACCCACAGAGACCCATAGAGACCCACAGAGACCCATAGAGACCCACAGAGACCCATAGCGACCCATACAGACACACAGAGACACACAGAGACACACAGAGTCTCACAGAGACACACAGAGACTCATAGAGACCCATAGAGACCCATAGAGACACACAGAGACCCATAGAGACACACAGAGACCCATAGCGACCCATACAGACACACAGAGACACACAGAGACACACAGAGACTCATAGAGACCCACAGCGACCCGTCTCGTCTTCTCCCCCTCCCCTGTGCAGGCCCCACGCCTGCCGGGGCTGCGTCCCCGGCTGGGCCTGCGTGGCCCTGCAGCTGTCGGCGGTCCTCGCCCTGGGGGCCGCCCTCGTCGCCTCGCACCTCGTTCTGCGCGGCGAGATCTGGCGACTCCACGAGGCGCAGAGCGTCGCGCACTACGAGCGAGGTTGGTGGCGGTGATAACCACGTGGGCGGTTGCTCGCCGGCCGCGCGTCGTGACGTCACTGGCCACGCGCTTGGCTCGGCGGGTGGCTGTGGTGGCGGTGGTGGCAGTGGTGGTGGTGGTGGCAGTGGTGGTGGCTGTGGTGGCGGTGGTGGCAGTGGTGGTGGCTGTGGTGGCGGTGGTGGCTGTGGTGGCTGTGGTGGTGGTGGTGGCTGTGGTGGCTGTGGTGGCGGTGGTGGCGGTGGTGGCGGTGGTGGCTGTGTTGGCGGTGGCGGCTGTGGTGGCTGTGGTGGCGGTGGTGGTGGTGGCTGTGGTGGCTGTGGTGGCTGTGGTTACGGTGGTGGCGGTGGTGGTGGTGGCTGTGGTGGCTGTGGTGGCTGTGGTTATGGTGGTGGCGGTGGCTGTGGTGGCTGTGGTGGCTGTGGTGGCGGTGGTGGTGGTGGCTGTGGTGGCTGTGGTGGCTGTGGTGGCGGTGGTGGTGGTGGCTGTGGTGGCTGTGGTGGCTGTGGTTATGGTGGTGGCGGTGGCTGTGGTGGCTGTGGTGGCGGTGGTGGTGGTGGTGGCTGTGGTGGCTGTGGTGGCGGTGGTGGCGCTGCCGTGATCTCCGAGTCACCTCTCCAATCGCCGTCGCTCGTTCCGCCTCTCTGCCCCTGCCTCGTCGCTCCGCCCCTGCGCTCCGTCAGTGCTGCCGCTTTTTTTGAACTTTGTGGAGCGCCCTGAAGGCAGGGCGCTCCACAAATGTGACGTTTATAAATAGCGCGAAAAAATTCTGGCAAGAGCGGCCACACAGCCCCAGGCCATCGGTCTCGAAGCGTGGACTGTGTTTGTGACGTCACCGGCTATGTGTCGTGACGTCACCGGCCACGCGTCGTGACGTCGCAGGCCACGCGTCGTGACGTCACAGTCCACGCGTCGTGACGTCACAGGTCACGCGTCGTGACGTCACTGGCCACGCGTCGTGACGTCACCGCTTTCGATCGATTGGCACGGCAGGTGGTGGTGGTAGCGGTGGTGGCGGTGGTGGCTGTGGGTGGCGGTGGTGGCTGTGGGTGGCTGTGGTGGCGGTGGTGGCGGTGATGGCTGTGGATGGCTATGGTGGCTGTGGTGGCCGCCGGTGCCTCGTGAAGGCCGCAGCTGCTGGGCAGTTGGAGGCAGTCGCCCCTCCAACGCGAACGGAGGGCGGAGGAGCGACACAGCTCCCACAACAACGAGCGGAGAGCCGGGCGGATAAAATGCAGCAAGTTGGCACAGCAGGAGGGGACAGCCGGTGGTCGCGTCTGCCGGTCATCTCAGTCAGCCGACTCACGTGGCACCTGCCGGGTCTGTCCCGTGACCTCCTGCACCTAGCCTGGCACAGCAGGAGGGCACAGCTGGTGTGCATCTCAGTCAGCCGACTCAAGTGGCACCTGCTGGGTCTGTCCCGTGACCTCCTCCTGTCAGCAGCGAGCCTTCGACACTTCAGGCGATAGCCTCAACGTGCACCTAGCCTGGCACAGGCGCCGTGGTGACGTCACCGGCCACTGATTGGGCGAACGTTTGGTGTTGGCATTGGTTTTGGCGGTGGTGGCGCTGATCGTGATGTGAGCGGTTGCATCTCTTGGTTCATCATTCGTCTACTAACTCGTTCGTTTACTCGTTCGTGTGTGTGTCTGTGTGTGTGTGTCTTTGTGTGTCTGTGTGTGTCTGTGTGTGTGTCTGTGTGTGTGTCTGTGTGTGTCTGTGTGTGTGTCTGTGTGTGTCTGTGTTTGTGTCTGTGTCTGTGTGTGTCTGTGTGTGTGTCTGTGTGTGCGTGTATGTGTGTGTCTGTCTGTGTACTATGTGTGTGTGTCTGTGTGTATGTGTGTGTCTGTCTGTGTACTATGTGTGTGTGTCTGTGTGTGTGTGTCTGTGTGTGTGTGTGTGTGTCTGTGTTTGTGTCTGTGTGTGTCTGTGTGTGTGTGTCTGTGTGTGTCTGTGTGTGTGTCTGTGTGTGTCTGTGTGTGTGTCTGTGTGTGCGTGCGTGCGTGTGTCTGTGCATGTGTCTGTGTGTGTCTGTGTGTGTGTCTGTGTGTGTCTGTGTGTGTCTGTGTTTGTGTGTCTGTGTGTGTGTCTGTGTCCGTGTGTGTGTGTACTATGTGTGTGTCCGTGTGTGTCTGTGTGTGTGTCTATGTGTGTCTGTGTGTTTGTACTATGTGTGTGTCTGTGTGTGTCTGTGTGTGTGTGTGTCTGTGTGTGTGTCTGTGTGTGTCTGTGTGTGTGTGTCTGTGTGTGTGTCTGTGTGTGTCTGTGTGTGTCTGTGTGTGTGTGTCTGTGTGTGTCTGTGTCTGTCTGTGTGTGTGTGTCTGTGTGTGCGTGCGTGTGTCTGTGCATGTGTCTGTGTATGTCTGTGTGTGTGTCTGTGTGTGTTTGTGTTTGTTTTCTGTGTGTCTGTGTGTGTGTCTGTGTCCGTGTGTGTGTACTATGTGTGTGTCCGTGTGTCTGTGTGTGTGTCTATGTGTCTGTGTGTGTCTGTGTGTTTGTACTATGTGTGTGTCTGTGTGTGTCTGTGTGTGTCCGTGTGTGTCTATGTGTGTGTGTGTCTGTGTGTGTGTCTGTGTGTCTCTGTGTGTGTGTCTGTGGGAGCGGTAGTGTAGCGGTTAGCGCTACGCTCAGTTATGAACCCGGCGACCCGAGTTCGATTCCCGCTCACGGCCAACACCGGTGACGATTATCTGAACCGGTCCTGAGCCGCCCCTACGTCGACTCAGCCTCAAATGAGTACCTGGTGCGGTGTGTAGTAAACATCGCCACTGTGGGAGACAAAGGCGGTCGTGCGCTGCTGTTGCTCGCCAACAGCACTTGCCCCAGCCGTCTGCTAAGGCTACATGGGTGAGCTTTGTCTTTGGCCGTGTGTGTTGTGTGCCTCTTAACAGTGTTGATCAGTGATGGGGGCATGCTGTACGATCCAGATGAGACGCCACCACCGCCGCCACCACCGCCACCACCGCCACCGCCCAGCGTGCTCAGTGCCCAGGTACGTGCGGCCGTCACCAGCCACCATCTATCCACTGCTGGATGGGGCGCCGCCCTGATTGGCCCGCAAGCGCCGCGGTGCGATCCAAGTGTTTGCCCGTGACCCGGAATGCAACCTGGTCTCAGTCACGTCAGTCGGTCACTCAGTCAGTTAGGCACTCAGTCAGTCAGTTGGTCAGTAACGCAGTCAGTCACTCAGTCGGTCACTCAGTCAGTCAGCCACTCAGGCACTCAGTCGCGCAGTCGGTCAGTCACTCACTCAGTCAGTCACTCAGTCAGTCGGTCAGTCACTCAGTCAGTCAGCCACTCAGTTACTCAGTCGGCCAGTCACTCACTCAGATAGTCAGTCAGCCACTCAGCCACTCAGTCAGTCAGCCACTCAGTTACTCAGTCGGTCAGTCACTCAGTCAGTCACTCTGTCAGTCGGTCAGTCATTCAGTCAGTTAGCTACTCAGTTACTCAGTCGGCCAGTCACTCGGTCAGCCACTCAGTCAGTCACTCAGTCAGTCAGTCACTCAGTCAGGCACCCGCTGGTGCGTGTGTGGGGTGTGTGTGTGGGGTGTGTGTGTGGGGGGGGTGTGTGTATGTGGTGTCTGTGTGTGGTGTATGTTTGTGTGGGGGGTGTATGTGTGCGGTGTGTGTGTGTGGAGTGTGCGTAGGTTGTGTGTCCTGGGGCGGTTTAACAAAATAAATAAACCCATAAGTTCATTTGCCGTTCTTGTACAACCGGATAAGCGGGCGAGGGGGGTGAGCGTGAGAATGAATGGTGGATGAAGTGAGTGAGCGAGCGGGTGATGGATGAAGTGAGTGAGCGAGTGGTGGATGAAGTGAGTGAGCGAACGAGTGATGGATGAAGTGAGTGAGCAAGCGAGTGATGGATGAAGTGAGTGAGCGAGTGGTGGATGAAGTGAGTGAGTGAGCGAGTGGTGGATGAAGTGAGTGAGTGAGCGAGCGAGTGGTGGATGAAGTGAGTGAGTGAGCGAGTGGTGGATGAAGTGAGTGAGTGAGCGAGCGAGTGGTGGATGAAGTGAGTGAGCGAGCGGGTTGGCGCGAGATCTTTAACGTGCGGACCTTACGGTCGATAACAAAGCTGAACGTCTTGAGACACCTCCAGTCAGTCCGTGCGCGTGCCAGCGTCTGTAGGGGAGCGGTGGTGCAGCGGTTAGCGCTACGCTGCACTACGAACCCAGCGACCCGAGTTCGATTCCCGCTCACGGCACCAACACCCAGTGACGAGTATCTGAACCGGTCCTGGGCCGCCTCCCCTAGGTCGACTGAGCTTCAAATGAGTACCCGTCGCGGTGTGTAGTAAACATCGCTAGCACTGGGGAGACAAAGGCGGCCGGGCGTGGGGCTGGCCACCCACCCCCTCGTGTGCCACAGCGCCGGCCTTCATCGGTGCTACTCGCTAACAGCCACTTGCCCCCTACAGTCTCACAGGCTACACGGGGGATCTTTGTCTTTGCCCGCGTGCGTGCAGTTGGCCAAGCTGAGCGAGGTGGTGGCGCGACTGGAGGAGAACTCCCAGCATGCCCTGCTGCTCGCCTACCTCCCGGACGTCGTAGCAGAACTCCAGGAGGTCAGCGGCCCCCCCCCCCCCCTCAGCCCCTAGCCCCCCCTTACTCCCCACCACCCATAACCCCCCCTACCCCCACTCCCCCTAACCCCCACTAACTCCACCCCCCCTAACCCCCCCCTAACCCCCCATACTCCCCACCCCCCCTAACCCCCCCTACCTCCCCACCCCCCTTAACCCCCCCTACCCCCACCCCCTAACCCCCCCACCCCCCCTAGCCCCTCTTACTCCCCCTAACCCCCCCATACCCCCACCCCCCCTAACCCCCCCTAACCCCCCCTAACCCCCCCTACCCCCACCCCCAGTTCGTCGTAGCTCCCCAACGCCCCGGTGCAGTTGAACTGCCTTGATGGCGTGACGCGCCGTGACGTGGCGTGACGTGGCGTGATGGTGGCGTGACGCTGGCGTGACGTGGCGTGACGGTGACGTGCAGGAGGTGCGATCCCTCACTCCGGGCATCGACGAGATCCGCGTCCACCACGAGGCCCTGCAGCAGCAGCTGGTCGACCTCCAGCAGCAGCTCAGCGACCACCTCCAGCAGGCGAGCCCCTCCCCCCCCCCCCCCCCCCTCGTCTTCCTCTCGGATGACCGACTCACACGCCAGCAGGCCCACTGGCCCACTCACAAGCCAGCAGGCCCACTGGCCTACTCACACGCCAGCAGGCCCACTGGCCCACTCACACGCCAGCAGGCCCACTGGCCCACTCACACGCCAGCAGGCCCACTGGCCCACTCACAAGCCAGCAGGCCCACTGGCCTACTCACACGCCAGCAGGCCCACTGGCCCACTCACACGCCAGCAGGCCCACTGGCCCACTCACAAGCCAGCAGGCCCACTGGCCGACTCACACACCAGCAGGCCCACTGGCCGACTCACACACCAGCAGGCCCACTGGCCGACTCACACACCAGCAGGCCCACTGGCCGACTCACACGCCAGCAGGCCCACTGGCCGACTCACACGCCAGCAGGCCCACTGGCCCACTCACACGCCAGCAGGCCCACTGGCCCACTCACAAGCCAGCAGGCCCACTGGCCGACTCACACGCCAGCAGGCCCACTGGCCGACTCACACGCCAGCAGGCCCACTGGCCCACTCACACGCCAGCAGGCCCACTGGCCCACTCACACGCCAGCAGGCCCACTGGCCCACTCACAAGCCAGCAGGCCCACTGGCCCACTCACAAGCCAGCAGGCCCACTGGCCCACTCACAAGCCAGCAGGCCCACTGGCCCACTCACACGCCAGCAGGCCCACTGGCCGACTCACACGCCAGCAGGCCCACTGGCCGACTCACAAGCCAGCAGGCCCACTGGCCGACTCACACACCAGCAGGCCCACTGGCCGAGTGACCGCCCCCACCCGTGCCACCCTCCGACTACGCCGCTCCTGATGAGCTCACGGCGATAATCACGGCCTCCTCCTCGTGTCCACCCCCACCCCCTCGTCCTCGTGTCCATCCCCCCCCACCCCCTCCTCCTCATGCCCCCCCCCTCTCGTCTCCCCTCTACCCCCTCCCCGCTCCTGGCAGGCTGCCGAGCATGAGGAGGCCGTGGGGGAGACGTTGGGGCAACTCGGCACGCGCATCAACGCCATCGCTGCCCCCAAGCCATTCGTGGCCTCCTCAGCGGACTCCTCAGCGGACTTCCCATCGGACTCCCCCGCGGAGTCCCCCGCGGAGTCCCCCGCGGACTCCACCGGAGACTCCTCCCTGGACTTCTCCGTGGACTCCCCATCGGACTCCCCCGCGGAGTCCCCCGTGGAGTCCCCCGCGGACTCCACCGGAGACTCCACCGGAGACTCCTCCCTGGACTTCTCCGTGGACTCCCCATCGGACTCCCCATCGGACTCCCCATCGGACTCCCCCGTGGACTCCGCCGTGGACTCCCCCGTGGACTCCCCCGTGGACTCCGCCGTGGACTCCCCCGTAGACTCCCCCGTGGACTCCGCCGGAGTCTCCCCCACTGGGGACTCCGCTGAGCCTGGAACCTCGGCGAGCCCCGGAGCGGACTCGGGGTCAACCACCGCCACCGTCACCACCGCTCCATCCGAGGTGAAATGACCGCTCCACCCTAACAGGAGCAGCAGCAAACGCTAAACCACGTCGAAAATTTGTAATTAATAAGCTTGTGCCAGAGGCCTCGGGGGGACAGGCATCTATGACGTCTCCTGGCCAAACCCCAATTGGCGGAGCCAGGAGACTGAATCTTTACCCTCGGGGCTCCTCCAGAAACAACAAAAAATCACTACATGTGGCCACATGGAATGTTCGAACGCTCACTGCGGAGGAGAGGCTGCCACTCCTCTATCGGGAGTTGGACCGGTACCGCCTGGATCTCTGTGGTATTCAGGAGGTCCGGTGGACCGGCTCTGGCTCCTGCTACCATGAGGGGTCGAAAGTCCTCTTCTCGGGGCAGGAGACTGCCAAACAACCGGGAGTGGCTCTTCTTCTGAACAAAAGAATGAAGGGGGCGTGGGAGCGTAGCGGTGAAGTGTGGGAAGCTGTAAGGTCCAGGCTACTTTGGGCTTGCCTTCCCATCAACCAGAGGCGAGGAGTGGTGGTCGTGGTTACTTATGTCCCCACTGAAGACGAATATCCCTGGAGGGATGAAGGAAAGGCCAATGAGACAGATGCCTTCTATGACCTCCTGTCACAGGTGCTAGCTAAAGTGGCCCCTCGGGATAGAGTCGTCTTGTTGGGTGACTTCAATGCCCGAGTTGGTCATGATGCTGGCACCTGGTCTGGAGTTATTGGAAGGCATGGGCCAGATCAGCTCAATAACAAAGGCAGGAGGCTGCTAGATTTTTGTGCAGCCCATGGGCTTGTAATTACCAACACGCTGTTCTGTCATCGGCGCATCCACACAACATCATGGATGCATGCCGGGTCCAAGCAAGAACATCTGCTGGACTACATAGTGATGGAACAGCGGATGCGGGCCCATGTCCTTGGCACCAGGACCTATCGTGGAGCTGATCTGCCCACTGACCATAGACTTGTCATCTGTAAGATGTGCCTGCCAATCTTCTACTCCAGTGGTGGTTGCACACCCAGGACCCAAATCAAACCCTTAGTGACATGGTCTCACCTAGCTGATGAAAGTTGCAAGCGAGAATTTAATCATTGCTTGTGGCTGGGGTTAGCATCGTCCCCCACTCCTGATGTCGAGGGGAAATGGGCGAGGTTTAGGACTGTGGCTCATGCAGCTGCAATGGCTGCTTTGGGTACACGGTCCAGACCTCCCCAGAGACTCTGGCTGATAGAGGAGGTGTTCAAGCTGGCTGAGAAAAAGTGACAGGCCCACTCTCATCGTCTACAGCATCCCACGTCGGAGAATGAGGAGGCTTACCGCAGCCTTTGCTCGGAGGTTCGGAGAGCCGTGAGGTGCTGCAAGGATGGCTGGTTGTCACGGGTTGCTGAGGAGATGGAGTCGGCCTCAATGGCCTGCGATCACAAATCACTCTTTAATTAAATAAAAAAGTAACCTGTAGCACCAAACCTATTACCATCATTAGGGGGAAGAGCGCTCATCCATTCTCTGACCCCCAGGAACAGGTTTGCAGATTTGCTGAGCATTTATGTGAGATCCTGGGGGAGGGGACATCCCTCAGCCTGGATAACAACGTGGGACATAGTGGGGATGACCCTCCCGAGGCTGCGGTGCCTCAAATATTGGAAGTCACCCCCTTGTGAGGGGCTGGCTGAGGTGCCATCTGTTGAGGAAGTACTGAAGGCAATGCAGAGTCTGAGACCATGAAAGGCACCGGGCAGAGATGATCTCCCAAGAGAAATACTGAGGGAGGGTGGCGTTTGTGCAAAGACTGCCCTACATGACATCATAACAACAGTCTGGACCACTGGACGAGTTCCGCAGGATTGTAAGGATGCCTTGGTGGTCCCCCTCTTTAAGAAAGGGGACCGCACAGACTGTAACAACTACAGGGGCATCTCACTCCTCAGTGTGCCGGGAAAGGTCTTGGCAAGGATTATTCAACATCACCTTGCTAGGCACGCTGAGGGGAGGCTTGTGGAGCCTCAATGCGGTTTCAGGAAAGGGCGATCCTGCACAGATACCATATTTTCTATCCGTCTGCTACAGCAGAGGTGTAGGGAATCCCAACAAGACCTACATCTCTGCTTTATTTACCTGTTCAAGGCCTATGATACCATCAGTAGGCCTGGGCTCTGGGTTGTTCTTCGTGCTTTCGGAGTCCCTGACCCTCTGCTCACGATCATTAAGGACCTTCGTGATGGTGAGCGGGCCCGGGTAAAACTACGTGGCTGGGAGTCGGAGCCATTCCCTGTACACCTGTGTGTATCTACCTGTGTATGTGTGTACCTGTGTGTGTGTAAGTGGGGTAGCGGTGTTGCGGTTAGCGCTGCGCTAAGAACCTGGCGACCCAGGTTCGATTCCCGCTCACGGTCACTAACACTCAGTGACGATTATCTGAATAGATTCTGGGCCGCCTCCCCTAGGTCGACTCGGCCTCAAATGAGTACCTGGTGCAGTGTGTAGTAAACGTCGCCACTGGAGAGACAAAGGCGGCCGGGCTTGGTGCTGACCACCCACCCCCTCGTATGCCGTGCCGGCCTTCATAGGCACTGCTCGATAACAGCACTTGCCCCTACAGCCTGTTAAGACTACACGGGGGATCCTTGCCTTTGTGTGGGCAAGTTCACGTGGCCTCAAAAGTGCACCGAGCCTGGCACGAGCGCCGCGGTGACGTCCCTGCACACTCACTGGCGAAGGGCGGCCGTTGTTGTTGCTGCTGCGGGGCAAGTTCTCAGCAGCACTTGCCCCGAAAGTCTGTTGAGGCTATACCGGGTGGGGGGGGGGGGAGAAGCTTTGGCTTTGTATGACGCAAGAAACCGGTTCGCCGGTTCGAGGAGGAGCGAGAGACGGAGGCGCCAGCGGTGAGACCCTTCGCGAAGTGACGAGAAAAAAATACCGCGTTAAAGTTGGGCGATTACCCCCCCCCCATCCCTCTCCACCCTCCCCCCAACCCCCCCATCCCCCCTCCCCCCAAACCCCCCCCAACCCTCCCCACCCTCCCCCCAACCCCCCCATCCCCCCTCCCCCCAACCCCCCCATCCCTCCCCACCCTCCCCCCAAGAGTCTCCCACTTGTTTGCCGTCGTTGTGAACGCGAGCCCGGAATCTTCTCGAGGTGTTCTCCAGAGGCTGGAGGCAGCCAGCACGTTTCCCGCGGTGTTTCTTGCTGCTGCTGCTGCTGCTGCAACATTCTCACAAAGTGTTCACATTTCTTTCGAAGCACCCTGTATTATGGGGAGCGGCGGCGCAACGGTTAGCGCGCTGCGAAAACCTGGCGGGACCCTCCTGGAAACGGGTCCCGAGACTCGGTGAGGCTATCCGGGATAAACGACTCTCAAACTATCACGCACCGAAACGTCGCGATTTATTTTATTTTTCATTCCTACGTGACTTTACCGAAAGAACCAAAGGGTAGGTGGATTCCTGCAGTCACGAAAGCCTCAAATCAACTATCACGCTATTTTATTGTGCCAGGTAAAGGCCCCATTGAGCTGCCACGTAGCTCCTTTGTCAGGAGCGAGCTGGCCATCACTAATAACAGCTGAACAAAGTGGCTGATGTTATCATCATCATCATCATCGTCGTCGTCATCGCGTGGAAATGTATAGCAGCAGCCGAAGAACTCTGAACGCGTTCTGTCGATTCGAAATGTGGAGGGAGAAAAACCTAAGGACTCCGGAGAAAAATCCACGCAGTGACCACCACGGGGGAGAGAGAGAGAAGAAGAAGATTCCAAATATACAGCAGCAGCAGCAGGCATCATCATCATCGTCGTCGTCATCGCGTGGAAATGTATAGCAGCAGCCGAAGAACTCTGAACGCGTTCTGTCGATTCGAAATGTGGAGGGAGAAAAACCTAAGGACTCCGGAGAAAAATCCACGCAGTGACCACCACGGGGGAGAGAGAGAGAAGAAGAAGATTCCAAATATACAGCAGCAGCAGCAGGCGTCGTCAGGGGTCGGGATCGAGCCCACGACCTCCTGTGTACCAGGCGAGGTAGTCAACATCTCCTAGCCACTGTAATGATGATGAGAGAGACACGCAGACTCCAAATATACAGCAGCAGCAGGCGTCGTCAGGGGTCGGGATCTAGCCCACGACCTCCTGTACACCAAGCGAGGTAGTCAACATCTCCTAGCCACCGTGGCTAGATAATAACAAGAACAATAAACACGAAAATAATATCGCAGAGTAATGGCGAGCGCGAGACTCCGCGTTCGACATTCCGCTTGACTCGAGGCGTTTTTACAAAACCCGGCGTGGATCGATGACTCCCCCCCTCTCCCTCCCACTCCCCCTTCCTACAGGGCCTTGCATCATCGTCGTCATCGTCGTCGTCGTCGGAAGAGGATGAAGAAGATCGACCAGGGGATTTGACGTCCTGGGAGTCAGAGGCGGGTCGCAAACAGGGAGTGCTCGCCAAGGTGCGGCTGGGGATGGGCTTCGGCTCCTCCTCCTCGGAGGAGGAGGAGGAGGAGGGGGAGAGTCAGGTGGAGGAGGTGTTTGAGACTGAGCAAGAGGTAAAGGATGCCGAGAAGAAGGAGGAGGAAGAAGAGGAGGAAGAAGAGGAGGAGGAGGGGAGGCAACACGAGGTAATCGAAGTGAAACTGGGCGACGCTCCCGGGATGAGCGTGGACGCGGCGGAAGGCGGCGACGACAACGACGAGGAGGAGGAGGAGGACGACGACGAGGAGGAGGATGAGGAGGACCGCGCGGACATGCAAGCCGTGCTGCAGAGAATCCTGGGCAAGCAGTGGATGGAGGCTCACCCCGCCGGGGCGCAGCGCCAGGGAGGGGCAGGCGGCGGCGGGGACGTCGGACTCCCCGGGCCCGGCCAGGACGCGCCACCGACAACGGCGACCGTCGCCGCGACGACGACGGTCGGAACGACGCGCCGGACGACCGTGGCCGACGAGGAGGACGATGTGGTGGCGGGCGACGAGGAGCAGGAGGAGGAGGAGGAGGAGGAGCCGCCGAGCTGCGCCGAGGTCCTGCTGGGAGCCCAGCGGGCCCTGCGGCGGGGCCTGCTGGCGCCCGGCGCGTTCGTGCCGAGCTGCGACGGCTCGGGGCGCTACGGCGCGACGCAGTGCTCGCGCGGGCGTGCCGAGTGCTGGTGCGTGGACGAGCACGGCCGCGAGCTCTCGGAGACACGGAGCGACGGACCCGCGAGCGGCTGTGACAGCTGAGTGGCGACACCGTCCCCCGCCGTGTGTTGTGTTGTTGTTGTTGTGGTGGTGCGTATGGTGGGGCGGTGTCGGGTGTTGTGTGTCGCTGCGTGTTGTTGTGTGCAAAACAACCCCCTACCTCCTCGTGGTGCCGGACAGGCAACGCTGTCGTGGGCAGTGCTGTGGGGGAGGGCCAATTCCGATTTGCCGTTTCCCTCATGGTGTTTGTAACCACCACAGCGGCCAAATGGGGGCTCTGGACGGGTACGAGGGGTTGGTAACCCCTCCACCTTCAATTAATTACCACTAAACCACGACCACAAAATTTAATAAATAAGCTTGTGCCGGAGGCCATGGGGGGGACAGGCGTCTATGACATCTCCTGGCCAAACCCCTTTTGGCAGAGCCAGGAGACTGAATCCTTACCCTCGGGGCTCCTCTAGAAACAATAAAAAACCATTACGTGTGGCCACGTGAAATGATCAAACGCTCACTGCAGAGGAGAGGCTGCCACTCCTCTGTCAGGAGCTGGACTGGTACCGCCTGGATCTCTGTGGTATTCAGGAGGTCCAGTGGATCGGCTCTGGCTCCTGCTACCATGAGGGGTGGACAGTCCTCTACTCGGGGCAGGAGACTGCCAAACAACAAGCAGTGGCTCTTCTTCTGAACAAAATAATAAAGGGGGCGTGGGAGCATGATGGTGAGGTGTGGGAAGTTGTAAGCCCCAGGCTACTTTGGGCTCGCCTTCCCATCAACCAGAGGCGAGGAGTGGTGGTCGTGGTTACTTATGTCCCCACTGAAGACGAACATCTATGGAGGGATGTAGGCAAGGCCGATGAGCCAGATGCCTTCTATGACCTTCTGTCACAGGTGCTAGCTAAAGTGTCCCCTTGGGATAGAGTCACCTTGTTGGGTGACTTCAATGCCCGAGTTGGTCATGATGCTGGTACCTGGCATCGGTGCATCCACACAACATCATGGATGCATGCCGGGTCCAAGCAAGAACATCTGCTGGACTACATAGTGACGGAACAGCGGATGCGGGCCCATGTCCTTGACACGAGGACCTATCGTGGAGCTGATCTGCCCACTGACCATCGACTTGTCATCTGTAAGATGCGCCTGCCATATTTCCACTCCGGTGGTCGGTGTACACCCATTTAAACCCTTAGTGGCATGGTCTTAGCTAGATGATGAAAGTTGCAAGCGATAATTTCATCATCGCTTGAAGCTGGGATTGGCATCGTCCACCACTCCTCCTGATGTCGAGGGGAAATGGGCGAGGTTTAGGACTGTGGCTCATGCAGCTGCAATGGCTACTTTGGGTACACGATCCAGACCTCCCCAGAGACCCTGGCTGACAGAGGAGGTGTTCAAGTTGGCTGAGAAAAAGTGACAGGCCCACTCTCATCGGCTACAGCATCCCACGTCGGAGAATGAGGAGGCTTACCGCAGCCTTCGCTCGGAGGTTCGGATGGGTGGTGGTCGCGGGTTGCTGAGGAGATGGAGTCTGCCTCAATGGCCCGCGATCACAAATCGCTCTTTAATTCCATCAAAAAAGTAACCTGCAGCGCCACACCTATTACCATCATTAGGGGAAAAAACGGTGATCCAATCTCCGACCCTCAGGAACAGGTTTTCAGATTTGCTGAGCATTTCTGTGCCATATTTTCTGTCCGTCTGCTACAGCAGAGGTGTAGAGAATTCCAGCAAGACCTACATCTCTGCTTTATTGACCTGGTCAAGGCCTATGATACCATCAGTAGGCCTGGGCTCTGGGTTGTTCTTCGTGCTTTCGGAGTCCTTGACCCTCTGATCACGATCATTAAGGACCTTCATGATGGTGAGCGGGCCTGGGTAAAACTACGTGGCTGAGAGTCGGAGCCATTCCCTGTACACCTTGGGGTGCGACAGGGATGTCCTCTGGCTCCCACATTATTCAACATCTATTTTGACCACGTACTTCATGAAGCCTTCAATAGCTGTACCGGAGGAATTTCCATCTGGTACAGATACAATGAGAGGCTGATCAATGCCCGGGTGTGGTCAAGGGATGGCTCCTTATTGCGCAACCATGTTATGTATGCCGATGATCTGGTAATTGCTGCTCACTCAGAGGAGGAGTTTGAGGCGCTGCTGCTGAACCTGGAGCTTGCCACCAAGAGGTGGGGCCTTACCATCAGCCCCACCAAAACTAAGCACCTGCCTGGGTATTTTGTACCATTGGACACTCCACCCCCACAACTCCCAATTGGTGATAGGGCAGTTGTGGTTTAACAGCAGAGGTCTCTCTCCGAATCAGTCGAGCGGCATAACGCTGTGTGGAAGGTACCTGGTCTCTTGCTCTGCACGAAGCTTCAGGTCTTCTCGGCCACAGTAATTCTACGCTTGTGAAACGTGGACCCCCCTAATGGAACATCTTCACCGGTTAGAAACATTAAGGCTAGCCTGCTTGCGATCCATCCTGGGTTTAACCAGGCTGGATTGTGTGAGGAGCTCACAAATGCTTGAAAGATCTGGACAAAGTCCCATCGGTGAGCTCCTATGGCAGGCAAGGCTGCGTTGTCTGGGCATGTAGCCCGCATGCCCAGCCACCATATGCCTAAACAGCTTTTGTTTGGCCGGATCGAGGGGGCTAAACGGGCGCGGCACGGGCTAGAGAAGAGATGGAGTGATGTGGTACAGGAGGATGTGGAGCTGAGTGGACTTGCAAATGACTGGTACCAGCGGTGTCAAGATCGGCCTCTGTGGAGGAGGCTCGTGAAGGACGCTACTGGGCAGTTGGAGGCAGTCGCCCTCCAACAACAACGGAGGGCGGAGGAGCGACGCTCACAGCAACGAGCGGAGCGCCGGGTGGCTAAAGCACAGACAGTTGGCACAGTAGGGGGCACAGGTGGTGCATCAGCCAGTCATCTCAGTCAGTCGACCCGTGGCACCTGGGTCTGCCCCGTGACCTCCTGCCAGCGGGTGTTCGACACTTCACGTGGCCTCAAGGTGCACATAGCCTGGCACAAGCGTCGTGGTGACGTCACCGCCACTTAGTGGCGAATGGCGGTTATTGTTGTTGTTGTGTGCGGGGTGTTCCGCAGGGTGTTGTTGTGTAGAGTGTTGTTTGAACCACCTCTCCGGGGAGGATTTCCACGCAACTCATACTTAACTTCAAATTTAGCAATCTTTGGAAGAACGTGATCAACCAGGCAATGTGTTAGCCGACTCTCTGTGTTGCATTGCATTACATTTCTAAGTTTACTAGGTTTGTGTTCTCAAACTTCCAATTTTTCTCCCCCTGCCACTCTCATTGACTTGCTAATTCTTCTGCCCCCCCCCCCTCTCTATATATAATGCCTCGTCACGGAGGCGTTGTTTCTCTGTGTGTCTCTGTTTGCTTGTGTCTCTCTATGTGTCTCTCCCCATGTCTGTCTCTCCCTCTCTCTCTCTGTGTCTCTCTCTCTGTGTGTCTCTGTGTGTGTCTTTGCGTGTGTCTCTCTGTGTCTCTCCCCAAGTCTGTCTCTCTCTGTGTCTCTCTCGCTCTGTGTGTCTCTGCGTGTGTCTCTGCGTGTGTCTCTCTATGTGTCTCTCCCCCATGTCTGTCTCTCTCTCTGTGTCTCTCTCTCTGTGTCTCTCTATTTGTCTCTCTCTCTCTGTGTCTCTCTCTCTGTCTCTGTGTGTCTCTCTCTGCGTGTGTCTCTCCCCCATGTCTGTCTCTCTCTCTCTCTGTGTGTGTCTCTGCGTGTGTCTCTGCGTGTGTCTCTCTGTGTGTCTCTCCCCATGTCTGTCTCTCTCTCTGTGTGTCTCTCTCTCTCTGTATCTCTGTGTGTCTCTCTATTTGTCTCTCTCTCTCTGTGTCTCTCTCTGTCTCTGTGTGTCTCTCTCTGCGTGTGTCTCTCCCCCATGTCTGTCTCTCTCTCTGTGTGTGTCTCTCTCCGAGCTTGCATTCATTCACGCCTGATGACGGTTGCTTGTATTGCAAACGAAACGTCGTGATTTATTATTTATGTTATTTTATTTCCACGTGACTTTGCCGAAAGAACCAAAGAGTAATTCCTGCAGTCACGAAAGCTTAAAATCAAGTTTGTGCGTTGGGTTTTTTCTGTGGGTCTCTGCGTGAGTCTATGTGTTGTGTGTGGGGTGTGTGTGTGGGGTGTGTGTGTTGTGTGTTGTGTGTGGAGTGTGTGTTGTGTGTGGGGTGTGTTGTGTGTGGAGTGTGTTGTGTGTGGAGTGTGTGTTGTGTGTGGGGTGTGAGTGTGTTGTGTGTGGGGTGTGTGTGTTGTGTGTGTGTTTTCTGTTGTGTGTGGGGTGTGAGTGTGTTGTGTGTGGAGTGTGAGTGTGTTGTGTGTGGAGTGTGTGTTGTGTGTGGGGTGTGAGTGTGTTGTGTGTGGGGTGTGTGTGTGTTGTGTGTGTGTTTTCTGTTGTGTGTGGGGTGTGAGTGTGTTGTGTGTGGGGTGTGAGTGTGTTGTGTGTGTGTTTTCTGTTGTGTGTGGGGTGTGAGTGTGTTGTGTGTGGAGTGTGAGTGTGTTGTGTGTGTGTTTTCTGTTGTGTGTGGGGTGTGAGAGTGTTGTGTGTGGAGTGTGTTGTGTGTGTGTTTTCTGTTGTGTGTGGGGTGTGAGTGTGTTGTGTGTGGAGTGTGAGTGTGTTGTGTGTGTGTTTTCTGTTGTGTGTGGGGTGTGAGTGTGGTGTGTGTGGAGTGTGAGTGTGTTGTGTGTGGAGTGTGAGTGTGTTGTGTGTGTTTTCTGTTGTGTGTGGGGTGTGAGTGTGTTGTGTGTGGAGTGTGAGTGTGTTGTGTGTGTTATATGTGTTGTGTGTGGGGTGTGCGTGTGCTGTGTGGGGTTGTGTTGTTGCTGCCTGTTTTATTATGGGGCGCTGGCGGGGGGGGGATATGGGCGACTGTGGTTGCTGTGACGTAACGTGGCAATGCACGTGGTGCGTGCGTCTGTGGAACCGCAGAGATGAGAGCGGACTGGGTTGACGGCGCGCCTCAAGCAGAGGATGCCGCTGCTCACTTGGACCTGCCGGGGATCGTCTCACTCAGAGGTGAGGGCTGTGTCCTTTTGGTTTTTCATGTCGTGTGATGAACTTATTTTGCACCGTACGTAGCCAACCGTGCTAATCGGAGGAGGTGCGGGGTACAACAATAAACTATGGGTCTCTGTGTGAGTCTATGGGTCTCTGTGTGAGTCTACGGGTCTCTGTGTGAGTCTATGGGTCTCTGTGCGAGTCTGTGGGTCTCTGTGTGAGTCTGTGGGTCTCTGTGCGAGTCTATGGGTCTCTGTGCGAGTCTATGGGTCTCTGTGTGAGTCTGTGCGTCTATGCGTGAGTCTGTAGGTCTCTGTGTGAGTCTGTGGGTCTCTGCGTGAGTCTGTGGGTCTCTGTGTGAGTCTATGGGTCTCTGCGTGAGTCTATGTGCCTCTGTGTGAGTCTGTGGGTCTCTGTGTGAGTCTGTGGGTCTCTGTGTGAGTCTGTGGGTCTCTGTGTGAGTCTATGGGTCTCTGCGTAAGTCTATGTGTCTCTGTGTGAGTCTGTGGGTATCTGTGTGAGTCTGTGGGTCTCTGTGTGAGTCTGCTGGTCTCTGTGTGAGTCTGTTGGTCTCTGTGTGAGTCTGTGGGTCTCTGTATCAGTGTATAGTGGCTCTCTGTGTGAGTCTTTGGGTCTCTGTGCGAGTCTATGGGTCTCTGTGCGAGTCTTTGGGTCTCTGTGCGAGTCTATGGGTCTCTGTGTGAGTCTATGGGTCTCTGTGTCAGTGTATAGTGGGTCTCTGTGTAGGTCTATGGGTCTCTGTGGTGTGAGTCTATGGGTCTCTGTGCGAGTCTATGGGTCTCTGTGCGAGTCTATGGGTCTCTGTGTCAGTGTATAGTGGCTCTCTGTGTGAGTCAATGGGTCTCTGTGTGAGTCAATGGGTCTCTGTGTGAGTCTTTGGGTCTCTGTGCGAGTCTGTGGGTCTCTGTGCGAGTCTTTGGGTCTCTGTGCGAGTCTATGGGTCTCTGTGGGAGTCTATGGGTCTCTGTGTAAGTCTATGGGTCTCTGTGTGAGTCTATGGGTCTCTGTGTGAGTCTGTGGGTCTCTGTGTGAGTCTATGGGTCTCTGTATGAGTCTGTGGGTCTCTGTGCGAGTCTATGGGTCTCTGTGCGAGTCTATGGGTCTCTGTGTGAGTCTGTGGGTCTATGCGTGAGTCTGTGGGTCTCTGTGTGAGTCTGTGGGTCTCTGCGTGAGTCTGTGGGTCTCTGTGCGAGTCTATGGGTCTCTGTGCGAGTCTATGGGTCTCTGTGTGAGTCTGTGGGTCTATGCGTGAGTCTGTAGGTCTCTGTGTGAGTCTGTGGGTCTCTGCGTGAGTCTGTGGGTCTCTGTGTGAGTCTATGGGTCTCTGCGTGAGTCTATGTGCCTCTGTGTGAGTCTGTGGGTCTCTGTGTGAGTCTGTGGGTCTCTGTGTGAGTCTGTGGGTCTCTGTGTGAGTCTATGGGTCTCTGCGTAAGTCTATGTGTCTCTGTGTGAGTCTGTGGGTATCTGTGTGAGTCTGTGGGTCTCTGTGTGAGTCTGCTGGTCTCTGTGTGAGTCTGTTGGTCTCTGTGTGAGTCTGTGGGTCTCTGTATCAGTGTATAGTGGCTCTCTGTGTGAGTCTTTGGGTCTCTGTGCGAGTCTATGGGTCTCTGTGCGAGTCTTTGGGTCTCTGTGCGAGTCTATGGGTCTCTGTGTGAGTCTCTGTGCGAGTCTGTGTGTCTCTGTGCGAGTCTATGTGTCTCTGTGTGTATCTTCGCCTCTCTTCGTCTCCCCCGGCAACAGACCTGCAGTGGTTCCTGTACCGCTGTGACGGGGACCGCGACGGCCTGGTGACCTATGACGACGTCCGCCGCCTGCTGGGCGACGGCGCCCCCACGCGGGAGCGCTTCCTCGGCTTCGACCTCAACCAGGATCGTCAGCTCTCCTACACCGAGATGCGCATCGCCGCCGGCATCCTGCAGTAGCCCCCGCCGACCCCCACCACCACCACCACCCCCCCCCCCCACGGCCCCCTCCCTCCCCACCCTCCGCCGCCTACCGACGGATGTGCTCTGAAGAAGGGTCGTTCCCCAGAACGTCGGGCGTCAAAGGGGGCTCACAAAGTCCTTCTGATTCGCGGCATCCCTGATTGCTGGACGGACCACGACGCACACCTACGTAGGACGACGTCATAGACACGTACGACGACGTACCACGTACGTCATAACAGATACATACTATGACGTCATAGACACGTACAACGTAACACCACGTACGTCATAACAGATACATACTATGACGTCATAGACACGTACAACGTAACACCACGTACGTCATAACAGATACATACTTTGACGTCATAGACACGTACAACTTAACACCACGTACGTCATAACAGATACATACTTTGACGTCATAGACACGTACAACGTAACACCACGTACGTCATAACAGATACATACTGTGACGTCATAGACACGTACAACGTAACACCACGTACGTCATAACAGATACATACTTTGACGTCATAGACACGTACAACGTAACACCACGTACGTCATAACAGATACATACTATGACGTCATAGACACGTACGACATAACAGATACATACTATGACGTCATAGACACGTACAGCGTAACACCACGTACGTCATAACAGATACATACTTTGACGTCATAGACACGTACAACGTAACACCACGTACGTCATAACAGATACATACTTTGACGTCATAGACACGTACAATGTAACACCACGTACGTCATAACAGATACGTACTATGACGTACTGCGTACTACGACGTGCCGCAATGCACCGCGCACCACGCAGTACGGTTGTGTTCGCGTGTGTGCGTGTGTGTTCGCGTGTGTGCGCGTGTGTTCGCGTGTGCGTGTGTGCGCGTGTTTACTTTGATTCTGAGTACGGTTGGCTACGTGCAGTGGATGCGAAAGAAGAAGCCCCAACCTGACGCACGTGCGATCCGTGCACAAGTCGCTGTGCACTCTTGCCCAGAACGCCGCCACCACCACCGCCGCCGCTGCTGCAGCCACCACCACCGCCACCACCGCCACCACCACCACCACCGCCGCTGTCGCTGTCGCCACCACCACCACCGCCGCCGCTGTCGCCGCCACCACCGCCACCACCACCGCCGCCACCGCCACCACCGCCGCCGCCGCCACTGTCGCCGCCGTCGCCGCTGTCGCTGCTGCAGCCACCACCACCGCCACCGCCACCACCACCACCACAACCACCACCGCCACCACCACCACCGCCGCTGCTGCCGCTGTCGCCGCCGCTGCTCGTGAATGCGACGGCGTTCAATCTCCGGCTGGGGCTCAGCTCAGCGGTTGAAAGTCTCTGTGGGAGGTTTTGTTTATTTTTTTGGACCGGCTGTTGTTGTTGTTTTAACACGTCGTCGTCGTCGTAGTAGTAGTCGGGCTTTCGCGACCAATATTATCCATGATAGAGGTGTTTTTTGTTGGGTCGGATCACGTTAATGTAGATGCGCCGTTAAACCCGCCGCCACCCGACACAGCCAATCAGTAAGGGGCTTGTCACGTCAACAAAGCGTGGCCGATTCGTCACGAGTACAGCGCACGCCGGTTGTGCGTTGGCGAGTGAACCCACCGCAACATTTACGATTCGAGTACCGTGACGCTTCGCCAGTAATTACAACCAGCATAGTCGGGCGACAGCCCGTTTTCTCCATTAGGTTGTTGTCGTTGTTTGCTCGGTGGCGGTCAGCGCGTGCCCGCTTGTAAAATCAGCGTCCTTCCTCAATCGTTCGCTGCCGTCAGCGGTCGCGGACATCTCACCGGCTGTCGCTAGGGGATGTTAACGACCTCGCCTGCTATACAGGAGGTCGTGGCTTCGATCCCAACCCTGAGGCCCGCGCTGTTGGCGGTGCCTCTCTCTCTGCCCGCGGTGGTCGCGCGGATTTTTACCCAGCGTCCTCCAGCTTTCCCCCCCCCCCCCCTCCACATTTGGCATCAGCACACACGCGTTCAGAGGATTTGGCTGCTGCTAAAAATTTGCATGAGACAAGCCACCGCTCCGTTGAGCCATCGTTTGTGATGGCCACGACGCTTCTGATGAAAAGAGCTACGTAGCTCAGTGGGCCTTAGCTGGTGAAACAAAACGTAGTTCGTAGTTTCCTGGCGCTACGGCGCTCTGCGGCCTTTTAAAAACAACGGGCACAGCTACGCCTCGCCCGGCCGCCTTTGTCTCCCCCGAGGGGCAACGTTCACTACACACCACCGGCACCAGGTACTCATTTTGAGGCCGAGTCGACCTAGGGGAGGCCCAGAACCGGTTCCGATAATCGTGACCGCTGGACGTTGGTGGTGGCCGTGAGAGCGGAGAGCGGGAGTCGAAACTCGGGCTCTGTGTGTGTGTGTGAAAAGGAGCTTTACATCTCATCGGATTTCCTCCAGTAAGAATATTTTGATGGCGGCAGCGTGTCAACCGCTGCGCCGCCGCTCCCGGCGACGTCGTTTGAAAGGTTCCCTGGGGGTGGTGGTGGGGGGGGCTGGGGAGGTCCGTCGTTTCGTGTCGGCAACCGCGCCCAAGGGGGCAGCACACGTGGGCGTCATGCCCTTGTCCGCCCGCTTGCGCGGTCGAGGCGGATGTTGTGTTTTTTTTTTGTCGTGGACAATGTAAGATTGTTGGCTGGTTTCATTTTTGGACGAGGTTCCTCGAACCGCTTGAACGTCCTCGTGGCTTCTTGACCTGGCGGGGGCGGAAGGGCGCGGGGCACCTTAATGTGCTCCTTTACTTCGCAAAAAACAAACAATAAAATGCTGAGCTGGGAATGTCGAGAGTGGTCGAGAGTGGCCAACGTGGCGGCGGGCTGTGACGCACACCACCGTAGGAGGGCCTTGACAATCCGAACAGCGAACCGTTGGCTGGCAAACAAGCGCGAGTTTAAGTGCGCCATCAACGCACGCTGCTCGCTCGCTCACCCGCTCGTTCGCTCACCAACGCATCCACTCACCCACTCATACATTCACTCACCAACCCATCCACTCACGACAATGTAGGTCACAACAACACACTCACCCACCCACTCACCAACCCACTCGCTCACCAACCCACCCACCCATCCAATCACTCACCAACCCACCCACTCACCAATCCACTCACCACAACAATGAAGCGAAAATCCACGGGGAGTATTAAACTCGACTTAACCTTTACTTGTCATGTGTTTTGCCCGCCGATGGATCGCACTGCCTACGTGACGCGTGGCACGGACGCGTGACACGAACACACGACACGAACACGTGACACGAACGCGTGACACGAACACGTGACACGAACACACGACACAAACGTGTGACACGAACACACGGAGCGAACACACGACATGAACGCGTGACGCGAACGCACGACGCTCCACTGCATTCATGAGGAACACAATGCAAATCTCTACACGCGGGGACAATGGGGACATGGGAACACGGACACACGGTGGTGCGTGTACACGGACACACGGTGGTGCGTGTACACACATTGACACACGGTGGTGCGTGTACACACGTGGGCACGGTGGTGCGTGTACACACGGTGGTGTGTGTACACACGTGTACATACGGTGGTGCGTGTACACACGTGGACACACGGTGGTGCGTGTACACACGGGGACACACGGTGGTGCGTGTACACACGGTGGTGCGTGTACACACATTGACACACGGTGGTGCGTGTACACACGGTGGTGCGTGTACACACGGGGACACACGGTGGTGCGTGTACACACGGGGACACACGGTGGTGCGTGTACACACGGTGGTGCGTGTACACACGGTGGTGTGTGTACACACGGTGGTGTGTGTACACACGTGGACATACGGTGGTGCGTGTACACACGGGGACACACGGTGGTGCGTGTACACACGGTGGTGCGTGTACACACGTGGACACCTCCGCAACGGCGAGCGACAAATGCGCCGCCCCAGCTGGTGCCAAGCGCCGTCACGGCTTCTGGCCGTCGCGTCGTGCGGCGCTTTCAGACGCGCTGTCTGGGGCCGTCGGGAACGCCGCTCTTCCTTTGCCGACATTCGGAAGCTACTGGGAGCTGTCACGTAGACTGACAAAGTCATTTCAAATTGGGAGAGCTGTTTTTTTTGCGTTTAGTTTGGTTGTCCTTCCCCACCACCACCACCACCCCCCGCACCTCCGATTAGCACGGCTGGCTACGTACGGTGCGAAAGAAGTTCAACAAAGGTAGATACTGCCCATAGACTCAACACTGCCCATAGACTCAACACTGCCCATAGACTCAACACTGCACCATAGACTCAACACTGCCCATAGACTCAACACTGCCCATAGACTCAACACTGCCCATAGACTCAACACTGCCCATAGACTCAACAACACTGCCCATAGACTTAACACTGCCCATAGACTCAACACTGCACATAGACTCAACACTGCCCATAGACTTAACACTGCCCATAGACTCAACACTGCCCATAGACTCAACACTGCCCATAGACTCAACACTGCCCATAGACTCAACACTGCCCATAGACTCAACACTGCCCATAGACTCAACACTGCCCATAGACTCAACACTGCCCATAGACTCAACACTGCCCATAGACTCAACACTGCCCATAGACTCAACACTGCCCATAGACTCAACACTGCCCATAGACTTAACACTGCCCATAGACTCAACACTGCCCATAGACTCAACACTGCCCATAGACTCAACACTGCCCATAGACTCAACACTGCCCATAGACTTAACACTGCCCATAGACTCAACACTGCACCAGAGACTCAACACTGCCCATAGACTCAACACTGCCCATAGACTCAACACTGCCCATAGACTCAACACTGCCCATAGACTCAACACTGCCCATAGACTCAACACTGCCCATAGACTCAACACTGCACCATAGACTCAACACTGTCCATAGACTCAACACTGCCCATAGACTCAACACTGCCCATAGACTCAACACTGCCCATAGACTCAACACTGCACCATAGACTCAACACTGCCCATAGACTCAACACTGCACCAGAGACTCAACACTGCCCATAGACTCAACACTGCACCAGAGACTCAACACTGCCCATAGACTCAACACTGCGCGTCCCCGAGAGCGAACGAAATCTGGGCGCGCATTTGCTGTTGCCGTCGCGGTCTTTCCCTTCCTCTCGCGCGCCGCGCCGCCGCCGCCGCCGGGACCCCCCCGCGTCAGGACAGCACGCTCAGCGTGATGGTGCCCGCCGCGCGCTTCAGGGCGGCCACCGCCTCCTCGTGCGTGTGCCCCTCCAGCGCCTCCCCGTTCACCGCCACGATCTGATCGCCCCGCTGGAGCCGCCCGTCCTGGGCCGCCGCTCCCTTTGGGGGGGGGTGGGGGGGGGGTGGTGGGGGGGTGGGGGGGGCGAGGGCACCGGGGGGCGCTGTCCGTCAAGGGAAATATTTTGTTGTAACAAAATAAAGCGATCGCGAACCGTTGACGCTGTTGGCGGTGGTGTCATTGGGTTCGGCACCCGGAATGGGCGAAGCGCGGTGTTTATTCACGGTTCATGCTGACTTTGTCTTCCCCAGCGGCGATGTTTACCGCACACACCGCGCCGGGTACTCATTTGAGGCCGAGTCGACCTAGAGGGGAGGGGAGGCCCCAGCACCGGCTCGGATAGTCGCCGCCGGTGTCGTTGTGCAGCGCGCTAACCGCTACACCACTGCTCTCTATAGACTAAGATACTGTAGGGGCAAGTGCTGTTAGCGAGTAGAGTGTGAAGGCCGACACGGCACACGAGGCACCACGCCCGGCCGCCTTTGTCTCCAGGTTACTCATTTCAGGCTGAGTCGACCTAGGGGAGGGAGGCCCAGGACCGGTTCAGATAATGGTCACTGGCGACGGCCGTGAGCGGGAATCGAACCCGGGTTGCCAGGTTCGTAGCGCAGCGTAGCGCTCACCGCTGCACCACCGCTCCCCATACAGACACACAACACCCGCCATTGGCCACGACGTGATGGTGACGTCACCACGGCACTGTGAGGCCACGTGATGTGTCAAAGGTTCGCTGGCAGGAGGTCACGGGACAGACCCAGGTGGTACCATGGGTTGACTGACTGAGATGACTGGATGATGCACCACCTGTGCCCCCTACTGTGCCAAATGCACACTCACACACTCACACACCCGCACACTCACTCACTCTCACACACACACTCACACGTACACTCATGCGCACATGCAAACACACACTCACGCGCACACGCACACGCACTCACGCACACACTCTCACGCACACACTCACACGCACACACTCACACGCACTCACGCACACACTCTCACGCACACACTCACACACTCTCACGCACTGATGCACACACTCTCACGCACACACTCACACGCACTCATTCTCACGCACACACTCTCACGCACACACTCACACGCACTCACTCTCTCACGCACACACTCACACGCACACACTCTCACGCACACACTCTCACGCACCTTGCTGAAGATGCTGCGCACGTATATGGGCAGGTCTCCGTGGGGGCTCCCGCGGCCCCCCACGATGCTGAAGCCGAGCCCCTCGGGGCCCCGGTGAAGAACCACGGTGCGGCACTGGCCCGGCCTGCGCTCCACCGGACAGCGGCACGGCACACACAAAGCCCCCCCCCCCCCCCCCCCCGTAGGCTGAATGGACTGTCGGGGAAAGTGCCGTGAGCGAGTGGCCGCGGCTATGAAGGCCGGCACGGCACACACGCACACGCAGACAGAGACCCTCCGTGCAGCCTTGCCACAAATGATTGCTCAACGAAGTGGCCGATCACCATCACGTGGCAATGTATGGCAGCAGCCGAGTACTCTAAACGCCGTGACGTCGACTCTAAACGTGGAGGGGAAAAGCCGCAGGACCCGGACAGAAATCCACGCGACCACCACGGGGAGAGAGAGAGAGAGAGAGAGAGAGACGCAGACTCCAAAAATACAGCAGCAGGCGTCAGGGCTGGGATCGAACCCACGACCTCCTGTATACCAGGCGAGGTAGTTAACATCTCACTACCGTGGCTGCCTACCCAACCGACCCCCCGTCGCCGTCACTACGGCGAGCACTGGGTGGGTGGGGGGGGGGGGGGCGACACCGACCTTCGCTCGTCCCAGGAGGGGTCTCCGTGGTGCGGCGGTGACGCGGGCGCCGGTGCGGCCACCTCCAGCGCCTCGTCGCCGCCTCCAGCCTGCACTTGGTCTGCCACCTCCGCGGTCACCCCCCCCTGCTGCAGTGGTGGCTGCTGCTGTGGAAGCTGCTGTGGTGGCTGCCGTGGCAGATCATCCTCGTACTCAGCCTGTGGGGGGGAAGAAGCAGATCGAGAAGTGTTGTGAGTGAATGGGTGAGTGTGGTGTGGTGAGCTGCGGACGTGGCGAGCGGTTGGGTGGTTGGGTGAGTGAGTGAGTGGGTGGGTGAGTGGGTGGGTGAGTGGGTGAGTGGGTGGGTGAGTGGGTGAGTGAGTGGGTGAGTGAGTGGGGTGAGTGAGTGAGTGGGTGGGTGGATGAGTGGGTGGGTGGGTGAGTGGGTGATTGAGTGGGTGAGTGAATTGGTGAGTGAGTGAGTGGGTGGGTGGGTGAGTGAGTGGGTGGGTGAGTGAGTGGGTTGGTGGGTGAGTGGGTGGGTGAGTGGGTGGGTGGGTGGGTGAGTGAGTGGGTGGGTGGGTGAGTGAGTGGGTGAGTGAGTGAGTGAGTGGGTGGGTGGGTGGGTGGGTGAGTGAGTGGGTGAGTGAGTGAGTGGGTGGGTGAGTGAGTGGGTGGGTGAGTGAGTGGGTTGGTGGGTGAGTGGGTGGGTGAGTGAGTGAGTGGGTGGGTGGGTGAGTGAGTGGGTGAGTGAGTGGGTTGGTGGGTGAGTGGGCCGGCGGGTGAGAGGCTGGGTGGTCGAGTGGGTGGAGATTCCGCGTCTGCAGACGAATTGATGTTTTTATTTTATTTAAATATTTTTACGAATGCAAAAGTGTGAAGCAGAACCGCCACTTTGCTCGCCGCGTTACCCGAGGCTCCGGGGGGCCCCACGTACGCTCGGTGGGGGGGCTGCCCCCCCCCGCCGTCGTCGTCCGGCGCGTCGCGAGGGGGGGGGTCCTGAGCCTCGTCCCGGAACACGACGAGGCGCACGGTGGCCGGCGTGCGGCGCAGGGCCGCGATCGCCTCCTCGTGCGTCGCGCAACGCAAGTCGATTCCGTTCACCTGGGGGGGGGGGGGCGGGGGAGGGGCGGGGGCGAGGGCTTCTTGGCTCGGCCGTCGAACAAAGGCGGCGGTCACCGCACCGCCGCGCGGCACTCTCGGACGCGCCGCCACTGCGGCCGTCCGGAACGCTCTCTTCCTTGCCGATGTCAAGGAAGCCACTGGGAGCTACGGTGCACTTTTAAATCATTATCATCATCATCATCTAGATTGACGAACTGGTTTCTGGAGAACTGCCCGGTGTTGCGTTTAGTTTGGCGTCCTTCCCCCCCACCGCGGCTGGTGACGCACGGTGCGAAATAAGTTCAACGCACGGTAAATACTACACCATAGACTCAACACTGCACCATAGACTCAACACTGCACCATAGACTCAACACTGCCCATAGACTCAACACTGCCCCATAGACTCAACACTGCCCATAGACTCAACACTGCACCATAGACTCAACACTGCACCATAGACTCAACACTGCCCATAGACTCAACACTGCCCATAGACTCAACATTGCCCATAGACTCAACACTGCCCATAGACTCAACACTGCCCATAGACTCAACACTGCCCATAGACTCAACACTGCCCATAGACTCAACACTGCCCATAGACTCAACACTGCACCATAGACTCAACACTGCACCATAGACTCAACACTGCACCATAGACTCAACACTGCACCATAGACTCAACACTGCACCATAGACTCAACACTGCCCATAGACTCAACACTGCCCATAGACTCAACACTGCCCATAGACTCAACACTACCCATAGACTCAACACTGCCCATAGACTCAAAACTGCCCATAGACTCAACACTGCACCGTAGACTCAACACTGCACCATAGACTCAACACTGCACCATAGACTCAACACTGCACCATAGACTCAACACTGCCCATAGACTCAACACTGCCCATAGACTCAACACTGCCCATAGACTCAACACTGCCCATAGACTCAACACTGCACCATAGACTCAGCACTGCCCATAGACTCAACACTGCCCATAGACTCAACACTGCCCATAGACTCAACACTGCCCATAGACTCAACACTGCACCATAGACTCAACACTGCACCATAGGCTCAACACTGCACCATAGACTCAGCACTGCCCATAGACTCAACACTGCCCATAGACTCAACACTGCACCATAGACTCAACACTGCACCATAGACTCAACACCCCATAGACTCAACACTGCACCATAGACTCAACACTGCCCATAGACTCAACACTACACCTCCGATTAGCACGGTTGGCTACGTATGGTGCGTAAGAAGTTAAACGTACTTGAACATACATGCGGTGATACCATTTGCCGCGGCAAGCCGGGCAGAGTTCCGCCACGTCACCTCACCTCCAGGATCTGGTCGCCCGCCCAGAGGCGTCCGTCCTTCGCCGCAGCCCCGGACTCGTAGACCTCGTGGATGATGATGCCTCCCTGGGGGACGAGAGAGGTGCGGGAGAGTGGCGGACGCCACTTGTGAGGGTGGACGCTGCCCGTGGTGGACACCGGTAGCATTTGCTACCCCGGGGTGATACCGACTGAGTGAGCGAGCGAGCGAGCGAGCGAGCGGGTGAGTGAGTGCGCAAATGAGCGAGGGTGAGTGAGTCTGCGAGTGAGCTTTTCTGTAGGTGAGTGAGCAAGTACGTGGGTGAGTAAGCGAGTGTCCGGGTACGCGGGTGGGCGAGGGTGCGTGCGGGCGAGCGAGCGTACGAGCGTGCGGGCGGGCGGGCAGACGGGCGAGCGTACGAGCGTGCGGGCGAGCGTGTGGGCAGAGGGGCGAGTGTGTGGGCAGAGGGGCGAGCGTGTGGGCAGAGGGGCGAGCGTGTGGGCAGAGGGGCGAGCGTGTGGGCAGAGGGGCGAGCGTGTGGGCATGTGAGTCTCTCACGAGCAGCGTGTCGGTGCCGCCCACGATGCTGAGGCCCAGGCCCGTGCGCCCCTTGGCGATGGCGATGTGCGTCTCCAGGCCCGGCACGATGGCGCACGACGCCGGCTCCCCCGCGCCGCCCGGCACTGCTGCAGCAATGGCCACCACCACCGCCACCAAAAGCACCACCGCCACCGCCACCACCAGCACCACCGCCACCACCAGCGCCACCGCCAGCACCACCACCAGCACCACCACCACCACCAGCAGCACCACCAGCACCACCAGCAGCACCACCAGCACCACCAGCACCACCAGCACCACCACCACCAGCAGCATCACCACCAGCACCGCCGCCACCACCAGCACCACCAGCACCACCGGGCGGGTGTTAGTGATGGAGCGCCGCCAAATAATCCAGAGCGGCTGCCCACTCACCACGGCGCCTGTGCCAGGCTAGGTGCACTTTCAGGTCGTCACATGAGGTGTCGAAGGCTCTTGCTGCTCACACGAGGTGCTATGGGGTTGACTGATTGAGTTGACTGATTGAGACGACTGGCAGACGCACCAGTTGTGCTCCCCCTACAATGCCAACTCTGCCTTTCACAACTACTCTGACCTCCAACCCAGAAATATCTCATGGACTCGCACACAGAGACCCACAGACTCACACAGACAGCAGTAGACTCACAGAGACCCATAGACTCACCACACAGAGACCCACAGACTCACACAGACAGCAGTAGACTCACAGAGACCCATAGACTCACCACACAGAGACCCACAGACTCACACAGACAGCAGTAGACTCACAGAGACCCATAGACTCACCACACAGAGACCCACGGACTCACACAGACAGCAGTAGCCTCACAGAGACCCATAGACTCACCACACAGAGACCCACAGACTCACACAGACAGCAGTAGCCTCACAGAGACCCATAGACTCACCAAACAGAGACCCACAGACTCACACAGACAGCAGTAGACTCACAGCGACCCATAGACTCACCACACAGAGATCCACAGACTCACACAGACAGTCATCGACTCACAGAGACCCATAGTAGACTCACAGAGCCCCATAGACTCACCACACAGAGACCCACAGACTCACACAGACAACAATAGACTCACAGGGATCCATGGACTCACACAGAGAGCAATAGAATAACACGGAGATTCACAGACTTACACAGAGATCAAAAGACCACACAGAGAACAATAGAATGACGCAGCTAATATGGTGGAGCAGTAGGTCCTGGGAGCAAGGAGAAATCCGTGGAATGGAGGGAGGGGGAGAGGGATAGAGGAAGGGAGGCAAGTGGGACAGGGGAGGGAGGGGAGCGAGGGAGGGGAGGGAGGTGGGAAAGGAGGGAGGGGAGGGTAGGGAGGTGGGAAGGGAGGGAGGCAAGGAAGGGGAGGGAGGTGAGGGGAGGGAGGGGAGGGGAGGGAGGTGAGGGAAGGGAGGGGAGGGAGGGAGGGAGGGAGGGAAGGGAGGGAGGGGAAGGGAGGGAGTGAGGGAAGGGAGGGAGGGAGGGGAGGGAGGGAGTGAGGGGAGGGAGTGAGGGGAGGGAGGGAGTGAGGGGAGTGAGGGGAGTGAGGAAGTGAGGGGAGTGAGGGGAGGGGAGGGAGTGAGGGGAGGGAGGGAGTGAGGGGAGGGAGGGAGTGAGGGAAGGGAGGGAGTAAGGGGAGGGAGTGAGGGAAGGGAGGGGAGGGAGTGAGGGGAGGGAGTGAGGGGAGGGAGTGAGGGAAGGGAGGGAGTGAGGGGAGGGAGTGAGAGAAGGGAGGGGAGGGGGTGAGGGGAGGGAGTGAGGGGAGGGAGTGAGGGGAGGGAGGTTCTCGATGCGGTGACGTCCACGAGGTGAGTGGAGGTGGTTGCTGTGCGCCACAGGCCGAGAGTCGACTCACGCTGCGGCGGCGGCGCTCCGAGCGGGAAGTCCGCGTGCCGCCCTCCCTCCCCGCTCCCCTCCCCCTCGTCCTCCTCCTCCTCGTCCGTCCCCGTCGCGGCAACCTCTGACCCCGCGCGAGCGCCGGCGGCGTCCTGCAAAAACGCGGCCACGGCCGTCGAGCGGAACGTGTCGCGCGGGCCCGAGCGACTTCTGTGTCGGTGTGGCACGCAGCCCGACGTGCCCGGCCTTTTAGCGGCGCTAAAACTAAACTACGACTTTTATCTGACCACGCAAGGCCCACACTGAGCTAGATAGAGAGAGCTCTTTAGTCAGAAGCGACCTGGCTGGCCATCACAAATGATAGCTCGACGAAGTAGGCTTGTCATTATCATCGCGCGGACATCCATAGCGGCAGTCGAATACGCTTATTGAACGCGCGACGTCGGTTCTAAATGTGGAGGGAGAAAACCGGAGGGGCCCGGAGAAAAATCCACCTGACGGCCACGGGGCGAGAGAGAGAAAGACGCAGACTCCAAATACACAGCAGGCGTCATCAGGGTCGGAATCGAACCCACGACCTCCTCCATATCAGGCGAGGCAGGCGCCGTGGTGGCTAGGTGATGTTAACTACCTTGGCGGGTATACAGGAGGTCGTGGGTTCGATCCCGGCCCGGACACCTGCTGTATATTAGAAGTTTGCGTGTCTCTCTCTCCCCGGGGTCGCGTGGATTTTTCAGTTTTTTTTTCACCTTCCCTCCACATTTAGAATCGACGTCACCACGCGTTGAAAGATGTGCATTGGTTGCCGCTATAAAGACGTCCACGTGATTGCAATGATGAGCCCACTTCTGACAAAAGAGCTTCACAGCAGCTCGTTGGGCCTTTCCTGGAAAATGTAAAAACAAATAAAATTAAATACAACAACACGGTTGACCATCGATTATCCGGCTGCTCCCAACATTATCCGGCGGTGCCGGGTCGATCCAGAGAAACCGGCAAACCGCTACAAGGGCTTTAACCGGTCCGTCGATCAAAAACATAACGTCACGCAAGAATGTGCAAAAAATAAGCTCATTTTAAATTACCGTGGCGTAGCGATTAATTATCCGGCATTTAAAAAAATTAATCTGGCGTCCCGCCCCTCCAAGCCAAAGCTGCCGGATGACCGATGGTCTCGCAAGCCACAAGCAGGGTGGCGTTGACAACTGCCACCCGCCGACTCACCTGCTGGCAGGGGTCGGCGGTGGCGTGGAAGAGGAAGGGGTTGTACAGGGACGGAGGAGGAGGCTTTGGGGGGGGCGAAGCCGGCGCCGGTGGCAGCGGCGGCGGCGCGTCTAGGCTACCCGCCGGCTTGGCAAGCGCCGCGGCCAATCGCCGGCGACCCCGAGCGGCCGCGGAGGTCGGAGGTCGGACGCAGCAGAGGACGCCCCGGAACAAAGCGGCGGCGGCGGCGGCGGATGCGTCCGCGCGCACGCAACGGAACGGACGGACGGCGAAAGCGTTCCTGTTAGCGTTAGTAGCGGCGGTGGTAGTGGCGGTGGTAGTGGTGGCGGTGGTAGTGGCGGTGGTGGTGGCGGTGGTAGTGGCGGTGGAAGTGGCGGTGGTAGTGGCGGGGGGCTCGCGGAGACCGGAGGAGGAGGTCGCGTGCGGGGGGAGAGGGAGGGGCGTGTTAGTGCGTTGCTCGCTCGGCGCCAACATCGGCGCCTGCGCTGCGCGTGCGTTAGCGCGGAAGGACGCGCGTCGGCCAGGGGTTTGCATTGCGTGGGCGAGCGTGGGCGAGCGTGGGCGAGCGTGGGCGAGCGTGGGTGTGGTTGTGTCGGCTGCGCTGCACGGTGAGAGCAATGACAGACGTCAATGTTTGGCTGGGTGAGTGAACGGGTGAGTGCGTGGGTACGTGAGTGAGTGAGTGGGTGGGTGAGGCAGGGTTAGTCACTGACCTGGGTTAGTAGGTGGTAGAAAGGGTTGCTAGGCTTAAGGCTGAAGTCTTGCCGCGGCGCGGCAAACTTTTGCCGCGACTTTTCCCAGCGCAGGCGTGAAAATCAGACGCAGCGCGGACGTGATTGCAACGCGCCGGTCGAGGAACCACACCCGTGCACGTACACGCACGCACACACACGTGCGAGCACACACCAGGCCACGCACATACACACGCAGCCACGTGCACGCACGGACGCACGCGTTTTCGGGTCGCGCGAGCCACCCCCCACCCCCCCCCCCCCCCCCCACCACTCTCGTTCGGCTCTCGAGCTTCCCTCGCCGCGTGGAGCGAAACGTCGGACGTCGCGGCCGACCACGCGAGCCCCACCCACTGACCCCACCCCCTACGAAAAACCCTCCGCAGCCGCAGACTCCGGACCTCACACGACCGTCGCTTCAGCGGCGGCGGCAAGCAGCGAGCAGCGAGCAGCGTTACATTTTTAAACTATATTTTTTATTGACACCAACGACAGCGACGACGACAGCCACCGCCGTCGTAGCGGCGGGTGGCGACTCGCGAACGGCAACGCGTCGCGAGTGGGGGGGACGTGACTTCGGCGCGAGTGGGGAGACGTTTCCGCGCGAGGAGTTTGACGCGACCGACCGCCGACACTCGAGCGGCTCGTGCGTCAACACTCACAAACGTCAAGTGATTTCTTTCCCTGTGTATATATATGTGTGTGTGTTGAGCGTCTAAAGTCTCTGGTTGTGACTCACAGTGCATCTGCCCATGCCTTCTCCCTGTGCCCCAATCCATTTTTCAATCCTTCTCCCCTCCTTGCAACCCCTACACCGGAATCAGCTTCAACACGAGACTCGGCACCGCTGCCCACACTCAACACCGCTACCCATAGACTCAACACTACCCATAGACCTAATGCTGCCCCTGAACATTAAGCAGTTCCCCTCCTCAACCTCCACATGGGTCTGTCCCGTGTCCTCCCGCCACCAGCGAGAGCCTTCGACACTTCACGGCGACGGCCACCGAGCGCACCTGGCCTGGCAGGAGCGCCGCGGCGATGTCACCGCCACTGTCGGCGGGGCACGGTGGCCGTTTGCCGTCACTGTTATCGTCGCTAGCGGCACTTGCCCCAACGAGGCTATCTCTCTTTTTGGGAGCTTTTGGCTTTGTGCGCTCGCGAGTCCGTCCCCCGGGGACGCTAGCGCACGGTGAGACGAACGGGGAGCGCGGGCGGCTGGGGGCTCGGTGGCGGCAGCGTCGTGGGCTGCTTGCACGGATCACGCCATCGGGTGGGCGGGCGGGTGAGTGGGCGGCCGGGTGAGCGGGCGGGTGGGCGGGCGGGTGGGGGAGCGGGTGGGCGGGTGAGCGGGCGGGTGGGCGGGCGGGCGGGTGGGCGGGTGGGCGAGAGGACGGGCGAGTGGATGAGCGGGCGAGAGGGGTGGGTGAGCGGCAGGATGAGTCGGTGGGTGAGCGGGCGGGTGAGCGAGCGAGCGGGCGGGCGGACAAGTGGGCGGGAGTGAACCGAGCGAGCGGGCGTGAAGGTGCGAGGAAGATGAGGGGGGGGTGGGGGGTCGAGGGCAGCGCACGGTGGGGTGGGGGGGGCGGAGGTGGGGGGGGGAAAGTGGGGGTGGGGGGGGGGTCGCACAGCCAAACAACAGAGAGCGGACGGACATGCAAAACAACAAGGGGTTAGCAGCACAGCAACAAGGACCGAGGCAAAGCGCGGAACGTGCGGCTGCTTGCGCTGCGGTGCGGACGTTAGGGGCGTGCATTGTGACGATTCAGGGAGAGAGAGAGCGGAATGGGGGGGGGGGGTGTGGGGGATGGGGGGGAGCTGTTGGAACTCTCAAAGAACAGAGGTGGCGGTGGTGGTGGCGGTGGTAGTGGCGGACGAAGAGGGAAAGTGCACAGGAAGGAGAGAGGCAGGGCCTAGAGAGAGAGAGATGTGGTGAGCGGTGGTGAGTGAGAGCAGGGCACGAAGGATAATGGGGATGATGGAGTGGATGGAGTGGATGGAGGAGATGATGATGGAGATGATGATGGAGATGATGATGGAGGAGTGGATGGAGATTGTGGAAATGATGAGAGGGCAGAATCCCAGGATGAGTGGCAATGATTCGGGGCAGCGGAACATCGAAACATCGACCCGTCAGCGGTTCAACTGAACGCTTTAACGGAGTCGCGATAACAACGCCGCGTCTGTAAATCTCCCAGACATATTGACTGGAAACAAAGACGGCCAGGCGTGGTGCGGTGGCCACCCACCAAACCCCCCACCCCCCGCCCCGTGTGCCACAGTGCCGGCCTTCGTAGGCGCTCGCTGCTCGCTAACGGCACTTGCCCCTACAGTCTGTTAAGGCTACACGGGGGATCTTTGTCTTTGTGTGTGTGGGGAGGGGGCGCCCTCACCTGGGCCCTGGGCACGAGGCTCTGCACCACGAACTCGACGGGGTGCACCGCTCGACGGATGGCGTCCACAGCCCGCTCGTGGCTGGCGTCACGTAGGTCCTCACCACCCACCTGCATCGCGTCACCCACACAGTCACCCACACAGTCACCCACGCATCACCCACACCGTCACCCACACAGTCACCCACACCGTCACCCACGCTTCACCCACACCGTCACCCACACCGTCACCCACACCGTCACCCACGCATCACCCACACCGTCACCCACACCGTCACCCACACCGTCACCCACACCGTCACCCACACAGTCACCCACACCGTCACCCACACAGTCACCCACACCGTCACCCACACAGTCACCCACACAGTCACCCACGCATCACCCACACAGTCACCCACGCTTCACCCACACCGTCACCCACACCGTCACCCACACCGTCACCCACACAGTCACCCACACCGTCACCCACGCATCACCCACACCGTCACCCACACCGTCACCCACACCGTCACCCACGCATCACCCACACAGTCACCCACACCGTCACCCACACCGTCACCCACACCGTCACCCACACCGTCACCCACACAGTCACCCACACCGTCACCCACACCGTCACCCACACAGTCACCCACACCGTCACCCACACCGTCACCCACCCCGTCACCCACACCGTCACCCACACAGTCACCCACACAGTCACCCACACAGTCACCCACACAGTCACCCACACCGTCACCAACACAGTCACCCACACCGTCACCCACACCGTCACCCACACCGTCACCCACACAGTCACCCACACCGTCACCCACAGTCACCCACACCGTCACCCACACCGTCACCCACACCGTCACCCACACCGTCACCCACACAGTCACCCACACCGTCACCCACACCGTCACCCACACCGTCACCCACACCGTCACCCACACTGTCACCCACGCATCACCCACACCGTCACCCACACCGTCACCCACACTGTCACCCACGCATCACCCACACCGTCACCCACACCGTCACCCACGCATCACCCACACAGTCACCCACACCGTCACCCACACCGTCACCCACACCGTCACCCACACCGTCACCCACACCGTCACCCACGCATCACCCACACAGTCACGCACACCGTCACCCACACCGTCACCCACACCGTCACCCACACAGTCACCCACACAGTCACGCACGCATCACCCACACAGTCACCCACGCATCACCCACACCGTCACCCACACCGTCACCCACACCGTCACCCACACCGTCACCCACACCGTCACCCACACCTTCACCCACACCGTCACCCACACCGTCACCCACGCATCACCCACACAGTCACCCACGCATCACCCACACCGTCACCTACACCGTCACCCACACCGTCACCCACACCACCACCCACGCATCACTCACACCGTCACCCACGCATCACCCACACAGTCACGCACACCGTCACCCACACCGTCACCCACACCGCCACCCACGCATCACCCACACCGTCAGCCACACCGACCATCACCATGACCGAACGCTGCCCGCCGCACCTCCAGGATGCGGTCGCCCTCCTTGAGCCCTCCGAGGCGCGACGCGGAGCTGTCCTGCAGCACGTGCTTGATGAAGATCCCGCGCAGCACCTCGCCCGGCGTCAAGCGCGCCCCCATCCCTCGCCCGCCCACAATGCTGATGCCCAGCGACCGCCCACCGGGGTCGCGGTCCACCAGCACCCTGCTCGCTCGCACGCACGCACGCACGCGGACGTGAACACGTGCACACGCAGACAAAGATCCCCCCCCGTGTCGCCCAAACAGACCGTGGCCCACAGACTCGATGATGCGCCATAGTCAAGTTGGGGGGTGGGGGAGGAGGTCCTCACCGGTGGGGGGGGGGGGGGGGGCGGTGGGTCCTTACTGGTGGGGGGGAGGGAGGGGTCTTTATTGGTGGGGGGGGTCCTTACTGGTGGGGGGGAGGGGTCTTTATTGGTGGGGGGGGGGGGTCTTTACTGGTGAGGGGAGACAGAGGGGTTTTTATTGGTGGGGGGTCCTTACTGGTGGGGGGGACGGAGGGGTCTTTATTGGTGGGGGGGGAGGGGTCCTTACTGGTGGGGGGACACAGATGGGTCTTTATTGGTGGGGGGGGGGGTCCTTACTGGTGGGGGGACACAGAGGGGTCTTTATTGGTGGGGGGGTCCTTACTGGTGGGGGGGACGGAGGGGTCTTTATTGGTGGGGGGTGGTCCTTACTGGTGGGGGGACACAGAGGGGTCTTTATTGGTGGGGGGGGGGATCCTTACTGGTGGGGGGAGACAGAGGGGTATTTATTGGTGGGGGGGGGGTCCTTACTAGTGGGGGGAGACAGAGGGGTCTTTATTGGTGGGGGGGGGGGGAGGGAGACAGAGGGGTCTTTATTGGTGGGGGGGGGGGGGGTCCTTACTGGTGAGGGGACACAGAGGGGTCTTTATTGGTGGGGGGGGTCCTTACTGGTGGAGGGAGACAGAGGGGTCTTTATTGGTGGGGGGGGGGGTCCTTACTGGTGGGGGGGACGGAGGGGTCTTTATTGGTGGGGGGGGAGGGGTCCTTACTGGTGGGGGAGACAGAGGGGTCTTTATTGGTGGGGGGGGGTCCTTACTGGTGGGGGGAGACAGAGGGGTCTTTATTGGTGGGGGGGGGAGGGTCCTTACTGGTGGGGGGAGACAGAGGGGTCTTTATTGGTGGGGGGGGGGGTCCTTACTGGTGAGGGGACACAGAGGGGTCTTTATTGGTGGGGGGGTCCTTACTGGTGGGGGGAGACAGAGGGGTCTTTATTGGTGGGGGGGGGGTCCTTACTGGTGGGGGGGACGGAGGGGTCTTTATTGGTGGGGGGGGAGGGGTCCTTACTGGTGGGGGGAGACAGAGGGGTCTTTATTGGTGGGGGGGGGTCCTTACTGGTGGGGGGGACGGAGGGGTCTTTATTGGTGGGGGGGTCCTTACTGGTGGGGGGACACAGAGGGTCTTTATTGGTGGGGGGGTCCCTACTGGTGGGGGGGACGGAGGGGTCTTTATTGGTGGGGGGGTCCTTACTGGTGGGGGGTTACAGAGGGGTCCTTACTGGTGGGGGGAGACAGAGGGGTCTTTATTGGTGGGGGGGGTCCTTACTGGTGGGGGGAGACAGAGGGGTCTTTATTGGTGGTGGGGGGGGGGGGGAGGGTCCTTATTGGTGGGGGGAGACAGAGGAGTCTTTATTGGTGGGGGGGGAGGGTCCTTACTAGTGAGGGGAGACAGAGGGGTCTTTATTGGTGGAGGGGGGGGGGTCCTTACTGGTGGGGGGAGACAGAGGGGTATTTATTGGTGGGGGGGGTCCTTACTGGTGGGGGGAGACAGAGGGGTCTTTATTGGTGGGGGGGGAGGGGTCCTTACTGGTGGGGGGGGGACAGAGGGGTCTTTATTGGTGGTGGAGGGGGGGGGAGGGTCCTTACCGGCGGGGGGGCCCCCAGTGAACCTGCGAGGGTCCCCGCTCTTCGCTTTCCTCCCCCTCCCCAGCTTCACGCTCCGGCAAATCGGCTTCTCTGTCCCCCCCACACGCACACAAAGACAAAGATCCCCCGTGTAGCCTGTGACGGACCGTCGGGGCAAGTGCTGTAAAGCGAGCTGCACCTATGAAGGGCGGCACGGCAGACAAGGGGGTGGGTGGCAAACACCACCACGCCCGGCCGCCTTTGTCTTCCCGGTGGCGATGTTTACGCAACGCACCGGGTGCTCATTTGATGCTGAGTCGACCTAGGAGAGGCCCATGACAGGTTCAGATAATGTTGGTCGTGAGCGGGGAATGGAACTCTGGCCGCCGGGTTCGTAGCGCAGCGTAGCGCTAACCGCTACACTACCGCCACCATCAACACCAGCAGCACCACCACCACCAGCAGTAGCAGCGCCAGCAGATGATGGAATGGACGATGACGATGATGATGATGGTCACGACGATAATGACAATGATGATGATGATGACGACAAAGATGACAATGATGACTATGACAATGACTAGCCTTTTGCCCAGTCCAAGGACGGGTGTATTGCAGTAAATCTGAAACTTGCAAGCGAAAAGCAGAGCGCGACGTGATATTCATTGCATCCATTCGCGTGCAATTTGTAAGGGCGCGGTGACACAGACCTATTTCATTTTAAGGTTATAATCCCTTGTCCATCACGACGTCCTTTCTACTTCGATGTCTCAACAGCGTTACGGAGATCACGTGACGTGAGGGTTCTGCCTTTGTAGTGAGGGTTGTGAGTTGATGCCGAGGAGGGGGGAGGAGGCGTCAGCCGCTAATAAATATTAATGAGGGGGGCTGGTCGATGTGGAGTGACCTCACGAGCGTTAAGGACAGCCATCCCTGGGTGATTATAGTAGGTATGACAGCGATGACGGTGATGATGACGACGACGGTGATGACGACGGTGATGACGACGATGACGGTGACGATGACAACGGTGATGACGACGGTGATGATGGTGATGACGACGATGACGACGGTGATGATGACGACGGTGATGACGGTGATGACGGTGACGATGACAGTGATGACGGTGACGACGACGACGGTGATGACGACGGTGATGACGATGGTGACGACGGTGATGACGGTGACGATGACAGTGACGACGAGGTAACGGCAGGCGTGTCACCTGCTTGCCGCGGCGCCAGCGTGTGCGCGCCGACTCTCCCGGTACTCCTCCAGGTCGCCGGCACTCACGAACGTGAGCCTGCACGGCCGGCGCCAAAACCGGGCACAAGCGACACGGCGGCACGGCCGCAAACAAAACGCCCCACGTTGCCGTTAGACCAGCAGGGTCAGCACCAGCAGCACCATCAGCAGCAGCAGCACCATCAGCACGAGCAGCACCATCAGCAGCACCAGCAGCAGCACCACCACCAGCATCAGCACCATCAGCAGCACCATCAGCAGCACCATCAGCACCACCACCAGCATCAGCACCACCACCAGCATCAGCACCATCAGCACCACCAGCATCAGCAGCACCATCAGCACCACCAGCATCAGCAGCATGAGCAGTACCAGCAGCATCAGCACCATCAGTAGCACCATCAGCACCACCAGCATCAGCAGCATCAGCAGCACCAGCAGCATCAGCACCATCAGCAGCATCAGCAGCACCAGCAGCATCAGCACCATCAGCACCACCAGCATCAGCACCACCACCAGCAATCAGCACCACCAGCATCATCAGCAACATCAGCACCATCAGCACCACCAGCATCAGCACCATCAGCACCACCAGCACCAGCACCATCAGCACCAGCACCATCAGCACCATCAGCACCACCAGCACCAGCAGCAGCACCACCACCAGCATCAGCACCATCAGCAGCACCATCAGCAGCACCAGCAGCACCATCAGCAGCACCAGCAGCACCATCAGCAGCACCACCAGCAGCAGCTCCTTTACCAGGGCTACTGCGTGGCACCCCCGCCAGCGCAATTCCTCGCGCCAGCGCGCAGCTCGTCGACGGCACAGCGAGGACACAACGAGCCGTGTTAGTGAGATGGGCGCCGGGCAGGCAGTGGCAGTAGTGATGGTGGTAGCGGTGGTAGCGGTGGTAGCGGTGGTAGCGGTGGTAGTGGTAGCAGTGGTGGTAACGGTGGTAGTGGTGGCAGTGGTGGTATCGGTTGTAGCGATGGTGGTAGCGATGGTGGCAGCAGTGGCTGTAGCGGTGGTGGCAGTGGGAGGGGGCGGTGGCGGCGGCGGCGGCGGCGGCGCTCCCGGCAGAGTGAGAATCGTGCAAGCGCGGCGCCGGCGCCAGCCGCTCGGGCCGCATGCGGAGGCCCGGCAGCGGTCGACGCGTCGCCGGGGTTAGTGGGGCGGTGGGGGGCGGGGGAGCGAGCAGAGGAGAAGTCTTTGTACGTGGCGTGGGGCGAAACACCGCTGCGGTGGCCAGAAACGCCGGCGTGTGTTTGTGGCTTTAAAAATATATATATATGAAATAAAAGTATATTTTTATTTTACCAGGTAAGGCCCCCCTACTGAGCTATAGATAGCACCTTTTTTCAGAAGCGACCTGGCCATCGCAAATGTCCACCGTCGTGTGGACAATTATAGCAGCGGCCAAATACCCGGAATGCGTGATGCCGATTCTAAATGTGAAAGAGGGAAAACCGGAGGATCCGGAGAGAAAAAAAATATCCATGCCACCACCACGGGGAGAGACAGAGAGACACGCAGACTCCAAATATACAACAGGCGTCGTCAGGGGTCGAGATAGAACCCACGAGCTCCTGTATACCAGGCGAAGGAGTTGACATCTCCTAGCCACCGTGATGATGATGAGAGACAGAGAGACACGCAGACTCCAAATATACAGCAGCAGGCGTCAGGGTCGGGATTGGGTGGTTCACGTGACATGCCTGCCCGCTCTCGCTCCACGGTACGGCTGGGATGGTTAGTTAGTCGATTAGTTGTTTTGATTGACTCAAAAATGATAACGATCGTTGTTTTCACCATCATCATGATCACCATCATCATCCCTCCACAGGTTGATAAAACGGGGACCCCCCCAACCCGCCAACTCGGGACGTTTAAGTGTCGTGCTACTTTACGGGCGCAGTGTAAAACGTGGTCGGTGACGTTATTGTTGTTATTGTTGGTAAATAATCCAAGGCTTGGAAAGGGGGCCAGCACAGATGATGTGGGGGGGGGGGGGTAAAGGGGCAGAGGGGGTGGAGGGCAAGAAGGAGGTGGGGGGGGGTACTCACTCTAGGGATGGGGCCTCCCTGGGCCCCACAGAGGGCCCATCACACCTGGGCCACGGGGAGAGGGGGCGGCGGCGGCCGCGGAAGGGGGGGCGACAGTGAGCGGCACGGCAGGAACATCGGCATCGCGGGCAACGGTCCCCGCCTCGTTAACGGGCAACGGTCCCCGCCTCGTTAACGGGCAACGGTCCCCGCCTCGTTAACGGGCAACGGTCGCCACCGCCGGGTTAACGGGCAACGGTCGCCACGTGGGAGTGTTGCCGCACGTGTGCTACTGCGTAGCGACGCACACACGCACTAACACGCACGCACGCAGAGGGCGAAAAGCAGCTAAGCGGAGCGTGGAAGACGTAACGAAAAGCGGACACACGCTCGTCAAGAGCTCCGCCCTAAGAGGACGGGGATCTTTTTGCCGTTTAAATACGGGTGACGTTTCAGGCGATGGGCCTTCTTCACGGGAGAGCGGAGAAAGATCACGAACAAGGGAAGTCGCCCGCTCGCCCGCCCGCCCGCTCACTCACTCGATCTGCGCTCCGATGAGCGAGTGCTTGCGCAGGAGGGCCCGAGCCTGCGCGCTGCCAAGGCCGGCGGCGGGCTCCCCGCTCACGGCCACCAGCACGTCGCCCGGCGTGACGCGCCCGTCGCGCCCCATGGCCCCGCCGTGCATCACGCTGCGCACCATCATGCCGGCGCCCTCCGGGTCCGCCGTCACCGTCATGCCTGCAGCAGTGCCGCCGGCAACAGGACGTGCGCGCGTGTGTGCGTGAGTGCGTGTGTGTGTGTGTGCGTGTGTGTGTGAGTGCGTGCGTGCGTGAGTGCGTGTGTGTGTGAGTGCGTGTGTGTGTGAGTGCGTGTGTGTGTGAGTGCGTGCGTGCGTGCGTGTGTGTGTGAGTGCGTGTGTGTGTGTGTGAGTGTGCAAAGACAAAGGTGGGAGGAGCGGTGGTCACAGGGGGTTAGCGCACTGCATCTACAACACGAGTCCAATTCCCGCTCACAACGATTATATTATCTGAACCGGTCCTGGGCCTCCCCTAGGTCGACTCAGCCTCGAATTAGTACCCAGTGTGGTGAGTAAAAACATCGCCACTGGGGAGACAAAGGCGGTCGGGTGTTGTGCTGCCCATCCACTCCCTCCGTGTGCCGTGCCGGCCTTCATAGGTGCTACTCGCTAATAGCACTTGCCCCAAACAGTCCGTGGTTGTGTGTGCACAACAACAATCAACGTTTGTTCTGCGCCCACAGTGGAACAAACCGTCACGCAATCACAGACGCAAAGACAAAGGTCTCCCGTGTAGCCTTAACAGACTGCTGGGGCAAGTGCCGTCAGCGAGCAGCAGCGGCACCTATGAAGGCCGGCACGGCAACAACGCGAGTTTGGGTTTTGGGAGGGGGGTGGGAGTGGGAGGGGAGTGGTGGCACCGCGCACTGCGCCACGAACACAGCGGCCAGGGTTCGATTCCCGCTCGCGGCCAACACGCTGGCGCGCACGCACGCACGCTCACGGACGGACACACGCACGCACACACGCACGCACACACGCACGCACACACGCACGCACACACACACGCACACACGCACGCACACACACACACGCACGCACGCTCACGGACGGACGAGTGCACGCAAGACGGGCTGGGTGCAGATGCAGCGCTTGTCGCAGTAAAAAAATGTTTTTTTTTAACAAATATTACATAGCAAACAGGGGGAACATAGACATAGAGTAGGGAGAGAGGGGGTACAGAGAGGGGGTGGGGGTAGAGAGAGGAGAGCAGAGCGCGAAATATTTTGTGAAATCTTTCATTTAAAAAGGGAGGGAGGGGGGGCACATAAAGCAAAGCATTGAAAAAACAAAACAAAAAACCACGAAATGATGAACGAAGCAAAGTGCCGACTACACCGAGCATCTTCTTGTTTCCTCTGATCGTAGTCAAACAAAATAAAGGGTGCACGCGGACCAAGGGGAAGCGAGAGGCATTCAGCCAGCAGTGCACCGAGCATCCGCGGCTGCTGCTCACCGAGGCTGGACGTCCCTTTGTTCACCGTGATGGTTTTCTCGAACTCGGACGGAGGACGGGTGACCCCTTCGCTCACCTGGACACACGGAGTCACGGATTCACGGTCACGGAGTGACAGAGTCAGAGAGTCACGGAGTCACGGTTAGCGCTGCAGGTAGCTGCTGCTACCGCTGTTGTTGCTCTTAGTGGTGGCGCCGGTGTTAGCAGTGGAAGTGGCTGGTGCTGCCGTTGCCGCTGGTCGTGATGGTTTGGTGGTGCTGGTGGTACTGGTAGTTGCTGGTGGTGGTGCTGCTGGTGGTGCTGCTGGTGGTGCCGGCGTGCCTGCGAGGTCGAGCCGTGGGACTGCCCCGAGGTGGACGACGACTCCAAGGCCTCCGACTCGGTGGGCTCCACCTATGCGTGCACGACAAGCGGACACGACCACGAGTACACGATCATGCGGACACGACCACACGTGCACGACGAGCGGACACACGACCACGCGTGTACGACTCTGCGCACACGACGAGTGGACACAATCATGCGGACACGACCACACGTACACAGCGAGCTTACACAACCACGCGTACACGACAAGCGGACACGACCACACGTACACAGCGAGCTTACACAACCACACGTACACGATCATGCGGACACGACCACACGTACACGATCATGCGGACACGACAACACGTACACAGCGAGCTTACACAACCACGCGTACACGACAAGTTGACACGACCACGCGTACACAACGAGCTTACACAACCGCGAGTACACGATCATACGGACACGACCACGCGTACACAACGAGCTTACACAACCGCGAGTACACGACAAGCGGACACGACCACACGTACACGATCATGCGGACACGACCACACGTACACAGCGAGCTTACACAACCACGAGTACACGATCACGCGGACACACGACCACGCGTGTACGACCCTGCGCGCACGACGAGCGGACACGACCACGTGTACACGAGCGTGGCGAGCGTACGTGACGCGGGGTGCAGTGACGCGTGCACATCGACACCTTTGCAACTCGCGCCGCCGGTAGTTGCCGTAGTACGGGCAGGCAGTGGGGGGTTGAGGGGGGGGGGGGGGCGTTGTTTCCTGCTGGGAGTTTTTTTCCCGACCGATTGATTTGTTGTTGTACCAGGAGGCTGCCACCGGCAACTCTTACAGAGATTTCACCCTTTCGAGAACTCATCAGCAGAGCAGTGCCCAAGGAGGCCGCCGCACCCCCCTCCCACCCCCCCAAACAACAACAACAAACACATAAACAACAACACTCAACTTATTCTACAAAACCGAGCATCCCCATCCCCCCCCTCCGACTCCCACACCGACAATGACCCAGGCCTGATCAGCTACTGCAGCGTTGTTAGTGGATTAGTCGTGAGTACAGGCTCGAGGAGAGGCAACGCTACGCAAGGAAACGAGGAGGAGCAATCGTCATCATCGTCGTTGTTGTCATCGTCATCATCATCGTCGTCGTCGTCATCGTCATCATCGTGGTCGTCGTCATCGGATGCGGGGGTGAGGGGGGCCCATCGCGGATCGCCGCGTGGGTGCCCTGGACGTGGTGGTGGCACGGCCCCTGGAGGTGTAAAAAATGCCATGTGCCTGGGTCCCCCAGGGTCCCCCCAGGGTCCCCCCAGGTCCCCCTGTGTCGCCGTGTCCCCCTTCCAGCCTGAGGGATGCCACCCCCCCCCACCCCCCCACGCTACACCCGCGTGCGTTGCCGATGGTCTGCGCGCGAGCGCCGAGCGTGCAAGCGTCACACCGCCCCCCCCTGCGCCTTGACACCCCCAGGCACACTGGAGGAGGTCACCTGGTCAATCCCAGAATGCTTTGCGTCTTCACACGCGGCTTACGTCGGGGCTTGACAAGACCTGCCGGGGTGACCCCCGAATCCCGTGGATATCGCGTTGCAAATCTATTCGAAATCCGGTACAAATTACGCATTAAAACCACCTGTGGATTCTGCGGCGGCGGCTCTGCCAGGCACCGCCGACTCGTTGCCCATCCCGGCACGAGCGCGGGCACAGGACCGTGGGCATACGAGTGCGGGCGCACGGGCGCTGGCATACAACGCCGGCACACGCCGACACACAACTACGGGCACACGCCGACACGCAGCTAGGGGAACGCGACCGCGGGCGACACGTCGCGAGCACGTCGCGCACAGACCAGCGCCAGCTCGGCGTGGAAGAGGGGCGAGCTCACGCGCGGCGCGCGCGGCGGCAGCTGGAACCCCCGCGTGCGGTACGGGGTCGCCGTGGCGACGGCCGCCCTGGCGACGGGGCCGGCGGCGCCGGGGAGCTGCGTCTCCCTGGTGACGGCCGGAGGGTCGCGGCCGGCGCGAAGGCCCGAGGAGCCCGGCGCCGGGTCGGGCTGCCCGCGCGACGACGTCGCCGGCGGCGGCGGCGGCGGCCGCGGTGCGGTTAGTCGGTTAGACAGGGATGAGGGTCGGGAGGGGGGGGGAAACACAGAGGGAGCGTCCCGTTAGGTTTAACGAGCGAGGCGAGGTGGGGGGGGGGGGGTGTTAGAGCGACGGTGGGGAAACGTTTGGAATAGAAGCGAGCGAGGGGGTTCCACAGGGCTTGTGTGTGTGTGTGTGTGTACCGTACGGTATGTTTGAGCTTCTTTCGCGCGCCGTAGGTAGCCGACCGTGCTAATCGAAGGTTGGGCGCTGTTGCCGTGCAACGGATGAGCGTGCTGCATGCTCACGCGGAGACAAACTGCACACGTACACCGACTGTCCCTCCCCCCCTACTTCCAGTGGCTAGGAGATGTTAACTCCCTCGCCTGGTATGGAGGAGGTCCGGGGTTTGATCCCGACCCGGACACCTGCTGTATATTTGGAGTCTATGTCTCTCTCTCCACGCGGTCGTGTGGATTTTTCTCCGGGCCCTCCGTTTTTTTTCCCCTCCACATTTAGAATCAACGTCTTCTGCGTTTCGAGTATTTGGCTGCCGCTTTCAAATTTCCACCTGATGATGATGATGATATCAGCCCACTTGGTTGAGCTGTCATTTGTGATGGTCAAGTAGCTTCTCAAAAATGGCTATACAGCTTACCCGGAAAGCCTCTGCCTTTGCTTGGTTTGCTTGGGCCTAGCACAGCCAATGGAGTATCCTCCCTCCCCTCCCTAACTCTCTCCCTTCCCACCTCCCCTCCCTCCCATCCTTTCCCTCCCTCTCTCCCTTCCCACTTCCCTCCCTCTCTCCCTCCCCCTTCTCACCGGCAGCGGCTTGGCCACGCCGATGCGAACTGTGCCCGGCGGTGCCCCCTTGAGGGCCGCGACGGCCTCCTCCAGGCCGGCGCCGGTGAGGTCGCGCTCATTGACGAACGCCAGGCGGTCCCCGGGCAGCAGGCGACCGTCCCGCTCGGCGGCGCCGCCAGGCACCAGCGAGCGGATAAGCACCACGCTGCGGTCGGCGTCCCACGGGTCCTGCCGGCAACACACGACGCCCGGAGGCGGCCGTGGTGGGTGGGGCGGCCGTGGTGGGGCGGCCATTGGGGGGTGGCCGTGGTGGGGGGAGGGGGGGCAGCCGTTGGAGCGGCCGTGGGGACAGCCGTGAGGAGGGGGGGCGGCCGTGATGGGAGGGGCTGGAAGGGACGACCGTGGCTGCTGACGACGATGATCGTGACAATGATGACGACGGTAACGATGATGATGGTGGTCACGACGATGACAATGTTGCTGACGACGACGACGGCTGCGGCTGGAGAGCCTCCCGGGATCGTCCCTCGGCCTCTCACCCACCTGGTAGTCCAGGATGCTGAACCCCAGCCCCTGGGTGCCCTTCTCCAGCTCGATCCACTGCACCTCCGAGTCCCACATGGGCTGCTGCCCTCCGGCAACCGCCGCCACTCCCCCCTCCTCCTCGGCCTCTGTCCCCGTCGCACTCCCCCCCACCGGCCCGGCGCTCCGGGGTCCCCCGAGAACGACACCGGCGTCGTCTGGGGGGCTCCACGGTGCTCGCTCCGTCTCCATCCGCGACGCCGCGGGAGACGAGGAGGAGGAGGAGGAGACGCCACTCTGGGGCCCGAGGTTCGTCGCGGCCGGAGCCTTGGGCCTGCCGGCCGCGAGAGCGCTCTCTGGAGACGCGGGGGGGCTACCGCCGGACCACATCTGCGTGGTGGGGGGGGGGGGGGCGGGGGGGGCGAAGTTCGCGGTCACTAAGGGCGCCACGGTGGCTAGGAGATGTTAACGATCTCACCTGGTATGCAGGAAGTCGTGGATTTGATCCCGACGTCTGCTGTTTACGCGATTTAACCCAAAACCTCTATTATGCCGACTTCAGCATTTTCTTGCTGTGGTTGTCCCACCTGATGAAGGCCGCTTGTGTTGTGGCCGAAACGTCGTGATTTGTTTTATTTTATTTCTACCTATGTGACTTTACCCAAAAGAACCAAAGAGTATACCTCTATTATGGATGATATTGCTCGCGAAAGTCTACGTGTCAAACTGTATATTTGGAGTTTGCGGCTCTTTCTCATCAGCATGACGGTGGCCGGGAGATGTTAACTACCTCGCCTGGTATGCAAGAGGTCGTGGGTTCGATACCGACGCTGACGCCTGCTGTATATTTGGAGTTTGCGTGTCTCTCTCTCTCTCTGTGTGTATTTTCATTCGGGTCCTCCGGTTTTTCCCCTCCACATTGAGAATCGATGTGCGTTTAAGAGTATTTGGCTGCTGTACATTTCCACGCAATGAGGATAAACCGCTGGCGTAGAGCTATCGTTTGTGACAGCTAGCTTATTGGACCTTGCCTGATTAATAAAAAATAGATTAAAATAGTTTAACAGCTCACCCCACGATGCGCAAGAGAAGCTGCGCTGGTGCTGCCCAGCGCCGACGATCCATCGCCGAACCCGATTAACACGGTTGGCCGCGTACGTTCAAAGTACGTACCATAACTACACCACCGCCATTAATAACAACCACCTCTAAACCACTGCCATCTTACGTGCAATGTTATAACCTACATAGCAGCGCCTTCTAAATGTATACTTAACGTAATAGGGGACAGACGATAATTAACCGGCGTGGCGCATTTGCCGTGTGGCCATCGTGCGGCCCCTCCTCTCGGCGCGCGAGGTGGAAGCCTCGTGACGTCGGTCGCGACCCGCCAACCCTCTCGCCGCCACGGCCGGGCAAGCCAAAAACGTCTCTAAAAATTAACCGGGAAAACTACAAAACCATTCGCGGACGCACGAAGCCGCGCCGGGACCGACCCCCGCGGGAGGGCCCCACGTCGAGGGATGGGCCCCTCTCACCTGGCCAAGGCTGTGGTCGGAGCTGGAGAGGCTCTGCTGGCTGCCCCAGGCGAAAGGTGGCAGCCGCGGGGCGGGCACACCGAGCTGGCGAGAGACGGGCGCACGCACGCACGCACGCACGCACGGTCCGTCACGCGCGCGGATACAGTACGCACGCGCACGCACGCATGGTCCATCACGCGGGCGCCCGAGTACGTACGGGCACGTGTGGTACAACACGCACGCATGGTCACGCAGAGATGTCGATGCCGCCAACGTTCGTAGACTCGCACGCACGGACGCACGTGCAGACACGTAGACTCGAAAACACGGACACGCAGGCGCACCCATAGAGTCGTACACACACCGCGCGTTAGGCGATGATAGTGACGTGAGACGCACCACGCGACCGGAATCATAAGTGCAGCATTATGTGTGTACCATGCGTTAAACTTCTTTCGCACCGTACGTAGCCAACCATGCTAATCGGAGGTGCGGTCCTGAGTCTATGGGCAGTGTTGAGTCTATGGTGCAGTGTTGAGTCTATGGGCAGTGTTGAGTCTATGGTGCAGTGTTGAGTCTATGGGCAGCGTTGAGTCTATGGGCAGTGTTGAGTCTATGGTGCAGTGTTGAGTCTATGGTGCAGTGTTGAGCCTATGGGCAGTGTTGAGTCTTTGGGTAGTGTTGAGTCTATGGGCAGTGTTGAGTCTATGGGCAGTCTTCTTTGGTTCTTTCGGTAAAGTCACGTAGAATGAGAATAAAATAATAAATTGATAAAATAAAATAACACAATATATTCTCACGACGTTTCGGCCACAACACAAGCGGCCTTCATCAGGTGAAGGGACGAGACTGTCTGGTAGGACAGCGCTGGAGTGAAAGAGCCACGTTCAGATCACGACCTTTAAGCTGTGTGAGAGGAAACAAAGCGCCTTTCACACAGCTTAAAGGTCGTGATCTGAACGTGGCTCTTTCACTCCAGCGCTGTCCTACCAGACAGTCTCGTCCCTTCACCTGATGAAGGCCGCTTGTGTTGTGGCCGAAACGTCGTGAGAATATATTGTGTTATTTTATTTTATCAATTTATTATTTTATTCTCATTCTACGTGACTTTACCGAAAGAACCAAAGAAGATGAATCATTGCAGTCACGAAAGCTTTAAATCGAAAAATCTATGGGCAGTGTTGAGTCTATGGGCAGTGTTGAGTCAATGGTGTAGTGTTGAGTCTATGGGCAGTGTTGAGTCTATGGGCAGTGTTGAGTTTATGGGCAGTGTTGAGTCTATGGGCAGTGTTGAGTCTATGGGCAGTGTTGAGTCTATGGGCAGTGTTGAGTCTGTGGGCAGTGTTGAGTCTATGGTGCAGTGTTGAGTCTATGGTGCAGTGTTGAGTCTATGGTGCAGTGTTGAGTCTATGGTGCAGTGCTGAGTCTATGGGCAGTGTTGAGTCTATGGACAGTGCTGAGTCTATGGTGCAGTGTTGAGTCTATGGGCAGCGTTGAGTCTATGGTGCAGTGTTGAGTCTATGGTGCAGTGCTGAGTCTATGGGCAGTGTTGAGTCTATGGGCAGTGCTGAGTCTATGGTGCAGTGTTGAGTCTATGGTGCAGTGTTGAGTCTATGGTGCAGTGTTGAGTCTATGGGCAGTGTTGAGTCTATGGTGCAGTGTTGAGTCTATGTGCAGTGTTGAGTCTATGGGCAGTGTTGAGTCTATGGGCAGTGTTGAGTCTATGGGCAGTGTTGGGTCTGAGTCTATGGTGCAGTGTTGAGTCTATGGTGCAGTGTTGAGTCTATGGGCAGGGGCGAGACGCGAGAGGGAGAGAGAGCAAGAGAGAGCGAGTGCCGACCCGGCTCTCACCTGGCCGGGCGACGAGGCGCTTTGCCCGCTGGCGTCGTAGTCGTGGGCGTGCCGGGAGCACACCATGGTGACGGCCAGGGGCAGCTCCTTGAGGATGGCCACCACCTCGCGGTGGGCACGGCCCAGCAGGCGCGTGCCGTTCACCTGGGGGCGGGGGGGGGGCCAGTCAACACGCGTCACCTCCCTCGCTCGCTCCCCTCCTCCCTCCCACTTTCCTTTCCTCTGCCCCCCCCACCCACGCTTCTTCCCTCCTCCCCCCTCCCTCCCATCCTCGCTTCCACCCCCCTCCCTCTCTCCTCCCCCCCCCTCCATTCCCAATAAGAGGGGGGGGTGGCGAGAGGAGGGTATGGGGGTAGTTGGGTGGGTGGGGAGTGGGCGGGTGGAGAGGGGAGAGGGGAGGCGGTAGGTTGGGGTCGGTGGGTGGGTGGGGTGGAGTGGGTGGGTCGGATGGGTGGGGTGGGGTGGGTGGGGTGGTTAGGGGTGAGGGGGTGGGTGGGGTGGTGGCGTGGGTGGGTTGGATGGCTGGGGTGTGTGGGTGGGGTCGGTGGGAAGGATGGGTGGGGTGGGGTGGGGGGGGTGATGGGGTGGGTGGCATGGGTGGGGTGGGTGGGATTAGGTGGGGTGGGTGGGGGGGTGGATCAGATGGCTGGGGTGGGGTGGGTTGGTGGGGTGGGTGGATCGGATGGCTGGGGTGGGTGGGGTCGGTGGGAAGGATGGGTGGGGTGGGTGCGGTGGGCGGGATGGGTGGGGTGGGTAGGGTGGGTGGGTGGGGTGGTGGGGTGGGTCAGATGGCTGGGGTGGGGTGGGTGGGTGGGATTAGGTGGGGTGGGTGGGGTGGATAGGGGGGGTGGATCAGATGGCTGGGGTGGGGTGGGTGGGTGAGTGGGGGGGCCCTGACCTCCAGCAGCTCGTCCCCGCTGAGCAGCAGCCCGCTGCGCCCCACGGGCCCCTCGGGCAGGATGGAGCGGATGTGGTGGTGCCCCAGGGAGCCCTCGAGGCTGATGCCCAGGCCGCTGCGCTCGCTCGTCTTGAACACGCGCGACACCTGGACGGGGGCGGAGGGGGGGGGCGGGGGGGTTACCAACGACGACGCGAACGCCTCGCGTCCGTCTTGAACGTCTACCAGCTGCACCGCACGTAGCCAACCGTGCGCCAATGGGGGCGGACGCGTGTCCGTCCTCGACGGGAGTGTGCGGTTGGGCGTCGCACCACGACTTCTTTCCCGGCTCCGAGGATGTTCTGCCAGCTGGCCCTGACAACGTCGTCGTCCTCGGTGGAGGCCTTGATTCCTGCGCGAGACGAGGAGGAGGAGGAGGAAGAGGATGATGAGGAGGAGTTTGTGTGAACGTTGAACTTCTTTCGCACCGTACGTAGCTAAACTTGCTCATTGGAGGGACGGGGCGGGGGCGGAAGGACAACAAACTAAACACACAAAAAGCAGGTCTAAAGAAGTGAGTTTGCCAGTCTAGATGATTACTAATATAATAAGCCAAGATTGTGTGCGTGTCCCGCGCATGACGTCACTCCACACGAGGCCCACCCCCTCTCATTAATAATCATGAGCGGATGGCGTGAGGCACCCCCCCCCCCCCTCATTGACAATTATCATTAGCGGGTGACGTCACTCCACATGCCGCACCCGTCCCCAATAACCATGAGGGGGTGACGTCACTCCACATGGGGCAACCCCCCCCCCTCCCCCCTAATTAATAATCATGAGCTGAACAATTTTTCTATTTAATACTTCAGATTCACTGCAATCTACACCCGTCCTTGGACGGGCACGCAAGCTCGTGATGATTTAAAAGTGCGCAGCTCACGGTGGCTTCCGAACAGCGGAAGGAAAAGAGCGTCACCAGAAGCGCACCTGAAGGCGGTGCGCGATGCGACTGTAAACTATTTTTTTATTATTTTACCAGGTGAGGCCCACTGAGCTATGCAGCTCTCTTTCAGAAGCGACCTGGCCGTCACGCACGATAGCTCAACGGAGCGGTGGCCCATCGCGTGGAAATGCACAGCGGCCAAAATACTCGCACGTCGATTTTGAACGTGGAGGCGGAAAAACCGCAGGATCCAGAGGGAAAATCCACGCGACCACCACGGGCAGAGAGAGACATGCAAAAATCCAGGCATCCTCAGGGTTGGGATCGAACCCACGTCCTCCTGTATACCAGGTGAGGGAGTTAACATCTCCTAGCCACGACGGGGGGGGGGGGGGGGGGGGGGAGAGAGCTCGCGAGTTGGCGCCACGCCGACGACAATCGGCACGGCCAACGTCAAACACCGCGGGCCGACCAAAACAGCGCAACGCGGGACGGAACCGGATGGTGGCGGCAGCGGCGGCGGCTGCCCTGTAATCCGGCGCTGTGGAGGCAGCAGCAGCAGCAGCAGCAGCGGGAGGAGGGTTGGTGGAACGCTGTTGTGAAACTCCCCTTCCCGTTGGTGGCCGTCAAGGCGGGGCGGGGGGGGGTGGGGAGTGGGGGGCCGGGCGAGCTAACCGGGGAGGAAGCGGCGCCGCTCGGCCTCCCGCCCACGAGCATCGTCCGCCTCCTCCTCATCGTTGTCCGTGCCGGTGGCGCTCACCGTAGTACCGTCGCCGCCGCCGCTGGTGCGCCTCGCGCCGCCCCACACACCGCCTACGCGCGCCAACACAACGCCCGCGCATGCCCGCTCGTCGATCGCTCGCTCGCTCGTTTTGTCCGTAACGTTTTGCCCGCCGCCGCCGCCGCCGCCGCCGCCGCGTGGCCTCCGAGCGCCGCCACTGCCACCACCGCTTCCTCCTCGGCAACAACGACGACGACGATGAAGAAACCGAACCGGCGACGAAACGATTCGGGGCCTGACGCGGCCCGAGCGGTTGCAGCCCAGCGGCCATCCTGGTTAATACCGACGTGCCGCCCGGCGCGGCCATCACGGTCAAAGATTTTGGCCGATTAAAAATAAGTGAAAATAACCACGATTGTGGAAAAACACAATTAGTGTTTACAAATCTGTATTTGGTAAGAAAAGAAAGACGATAATTAGCCGGCGCGGCACTTTTGCTGTGCAGAGTCGGTGGTGCTTGCACGGTGGAAGCCGCCTGAAGTTTGTTGCGACCCGGCAACCGCTCGTCGCCACCACCACTGAACTAAACAAATTTTTATTTTACACGGTGTTAGGCCCACTCAGCTATATTGTAGATATTTTTCCAGAAGCGACCTGGCTATCACAAACGATAGCTCAACGAAGTGGCGGCTTACCATCATCATCATCATCTCGTGGAAATTTACAGCAGCAGCCAAATAACTCTAAACACATTACCGTTGATTCCAAACGTGGAGGGGAAAACCAGAGGACCCCGGAGAAAAAAATCCACGTGACCACCACGGGGAGAGAGAGAGAGACACGCAGACTTCAAATATACAGCAGCAGGCGTCGTCAGGGTAGGGATCGAACCCACGACCTCCTGTACACCAAGCGATGTAGTTAACATCTCCGAGTCCACTGTGATGATGATGATGAGAGAGAGAGACACGCAGACTTTAAATATACAGCAGCAGGCGTCGTCAGGGTAGGGATCGAACCCACGACCTCCTGTATACCAGGCGATGTAGTTAACATCTCCGAGTCCACCGTGATGATGATGATGAGAGAGAGAGACACGCAGACTTCAAATATACAGCAGCAGGCGTCGTCAGGGTAGGGATCGAACCCACGACCTCCTGTATACCGGGCGAGGTAGTCAACATCTCCGAGTCCACCGTGGCGCACCCAAAGTCTCACCGGGCCTGGAGGGCGAGATGGTGACGGTGACGGTGGGGGCGTCCGTCTCCGCGTCGGCGCTCCAGATCTTCTCTCGTTTGCCGCCACCGCCACCGAGCCCGCGCCGACCACCGGGAGAGGTTGAGCGTTGTCGCCCCTCCTCCTGCTCCACCTCGTCACCGTCGTCACCGTCATCGTCGCCGCCCTCGCTCGACCCCGAGCCGGGGCTGTTCCGCGAGCGCCGCCCGCCGGCGGCCGCGCCGTGCCGCGGCTCCCGGCGGGCGAGCGTGAGGCGCACCGTCCTGCCGGTGCGGCGCAGCACCTCCACCGCCTGCTGGTTGGTGAAGCCCTGCAGGTCCGTCTCGTCCACCTGGCGTACACGCGTATGCGCGTGTGTGTGTGTGTACGTGTGTGCATGCGTACGTGTGTACGTGTGTGTGTGCATGCGTACGTGTGTGGTGGGGAGCGGTAGTGCAGCGGTCAGCGCTACGCTGCACGACGAACCCGGCTATGGCCCGAGTTCGATTCCCGCTCACGGTCACCAAACACCAGTGACGTTTATCCGAACCGTTCTTTGTGCGTGCGTGCCGTGTGTACATGTACGTGTGCGCGCGTGCTGTGCGCGCACGTGTGCGTACGTGTGCGTGCTGTGTGCGTGTCAGTGTGTGCGAGGTGCGAGTGCGTGCGTGCGTGTACGCGTGCGTGCGCGAGTACGTGAGTGTATGAGTGTGTGCGTGCGTGAATGCACGTGTGCGTGCGAGCGAGCGCGTGCGTGCGAGTGCACGCGCGCACGCGTGCGAGTGGGTGCTTGCCGTGCGAGCCTCACGGCGATGATCTGGTCCCCGGCCCAGATGCGCCCGTCGTGCTCCGCGGCGCTGCCCGGGGTGATGCTCTTCACGAAGATTCCCGACAGCTCTGCTCGGCGGCCAACCGCAAAACAGCCGTGCACGGCAACAACGCAGCGTCACCCCTGCGCGGCCACGCAGGCTACACGCTCCACACTTCGAAACTTTGCGGGCGAGGAGTTGAACCACGTCGTCGTCGTCGTCGTCACGATCAATCCACTGCTGGACGAAGGCCTCCCCTACCCACCCCCCACCCCCCTCCACCGGTGGAGGTTTTTTGATAGCCTAGGCCGGCGTGTGAGCCAGAGGCCGACCTTCGGGAGTAGCCTGGTCAAGACCCAATATCTTACTGCCCATACACTCACACCATAGACTCGCATAGAGGCTCATAGATTTACACAGAGACCCACAGACTCAAACAGAGACCCATAGACTTACACAGACACGCATCGACTCACACAGAGACCCACAGACTCACACATGAACTATCGACGCGCACAGAGACCCATGGACACGTTGATGGCGAAACGTTACCAGAGTTCTTATCGCCAACGTAGCCAGCGATGGTGATGCCCAGCCCCTGCGCGTCCTTCGTGAGCTCCACCTCGTAGGCCTCCACGCCACCCACCCCTTCGCCCTGCCGGCACAGATAAAGGTCCCCCGCGTAGCCTTCAACAAGCGAGCATCGCCTATGACGAACCTGCACTGCACACGAGGGGGGGGGGGCGAGTGGCCAGCACCACGCCCGGCCGCCTTTGTCTCCCCAGTGGCGATGTTTGATACACACCGCACCAGGTTACTCATTTGAGGCTGAGCTGACCGAGTGGAGAAGGCCCAGAACCGGTTCAGATAATCGTCGCCGACGTTGGTGGTGGCCGTGAGCGGGAATCGAACGTCGGGGTCGTCGGGTTCGTAGCGCGGAGAGCCGACCGCTGCGCCACTGTTTCACACACATGCTGACACACTGACACACTAAGATCCCCCTCCTATAGCATTCCCAGCCTGCCGGGGCAAGTGCTGTTAGCGAGCGTGACACGCGCACACACACACACACGCTGCGTTGTTGTCGTCGTCGACACGCGTTGGGCAGGTTTGTGTTGTTGTTGCTTGTGCTTGTGCACCACTGCCCCAACGCGGCGGCGGTGGCGGATAATTTGTCGAATTCACAGGCTCAGTTTCACAGGCGCCAATGACACTTCAGTTTTTTTTCAGTTTTTTTTTGTTACTCAAGGAATCCAAAGCTACTTCGTCGGGACAAATTCATTAATTCAGGTCAATGAGACGGCGCCAATTTACAACGGCCCACCACGGCTGGCCGGCGCGCAAGGCTGGCGCTCAGCCTGCTGGCGCCGACGCGACGGGCAAACAGGCACCTCGCCCCCCCCCCCACCCCCCCCCCCCCCCCCCCAAAAGTGCAAAGTGTTGTGCCGGATATTTTCCCCTTTTTTTTCCCCTTCCTTTCAGTCGTTGCTGCCGCTGTTGTTGTTCACAGCTGCCAAGGATGGGGGGGCGGTGGGGGAGGGGGATGGGGAGAGGGTTGCGGTGGCAAAGGCTCGTTATCGCGCGTCTGCCAAATTCCCAGTCCCGGTGGCATCTGCGGCACCAGATTTTTGAAGTCGTCTCGCGGGGGGGGGGGGAGGGGGGGGGGGAGCCAACGCCGATCTCCGAGCTCATCACGCGGCGGCATCTGTCGCCGAGGTGAAAATCACGGGGCTAACGCGCTGCGCTGATCGCGCGAGAGAGAAATGCTTTCCAAACGCTTACCGCGCGCGTCTGTTGAGAAATCCCGATGCGCCGCTGGCGGTCACGACCGTGGGCACGCAGGGACAAAGGTCCCCCCTCCCCCCCCCCACCCCCGTGTCGCCTTCAACAAGACCGTTGGTGGGGACAAGCGCTGTTAGAGCGAGCAGCAGCAGCAGCGGCGGCAGCGGCAGCGGCGGCGACAGCGGCACACGAGGGGGTGGGCCGGCCAGCGCCACGCCCGGGCCGCCATTGCCCCCACGGCGGCGACGTTTTACAACACCGCACCTCGGCGCTCATTCGTGGCCGAGTCGACATGAAACGCGCGCGCAGCCGCGAGCGCGCGACCAAACGCAATTTCCGCTCGGCCATTCCGGCGATTCACCGGTCGCGCACCTCTTCCGAGCGGAGGGCGTGCAGGGAGGCGACCGAGGGGATCTCCTCCTCCCTCGAGGCCGACCGGCTGGACGACGACGACAGCCCCCCGGGGGACGAAGACGGCGGCGGCGGCGGCGACGGTTGCGGGCGCTCGGCCTCTCTCAGGCCGCGCGCGATCACCAGCTTGACGTGCGTGCCGCACTGGCGCAGGACCTTCGAACGCACGCGTGCACACACACACACACACGGCGCGTGCGTCACACGCGCAGAACAGCACATACCGGCACGCACGCACGGACACACGCGGGCACCGGCATCGCCCTTCACCGCACTGGAACTCCGGACGGGAAGACGAGCGAGGGGTGAGCGTGCGTGCACAGCGGGCGGGCGCGGGCGCGTTGGCACACCTGAGCCACCTGCTCGCTGCCCATGCCCTGCACGTCCGTGTCCCCGATCTGCAGGATGTGGTCTCCGCTCTGCAGCCTCCCATCCTGCAGGGCCAGACGTTGTTGCTGTTGTTATTTGTATCGCTATTATTATTATCATCATCATCATCATCCACAGGCGCAGCACTGCATGAAAGAAGTTCAACGTTCATACATACTGCCCCATATTTATCCACGGGACTTTTTTAGCAGTATCCAAAATGATGTAAAATAACAATAGGTTTTGACCATTCCTGGCAATGAAACAGGAGGTGTTAAGATGTTCAAACACCAAATAGACAACTTTTGCAAGGCGTCAAAAGTATGGATTAACTACACGCAGCACTTGTGGCTAGAACATGCAAACAAACATGCTCCGTTGATAATGGACGCATTTGCCTTTGAAATAGATTGGCCCACACCATAGCCGGCCTCCTTTGCGGCCCAGTCTCACCACCAGTGTGAGACCAGAGAAACAACGCTAAATGGTGGAGGCCAATCAGTCCTAATAAAATCGTCCTATTCCACCTTGGTGGAGGCATGAGGGCAGGGGTGGCGGCAGGGAGGGTGGGGAACGGTGGTGCAGCGGTTAGCGCTTTGCGCTACGAACCCGGCGACCCGGGTTGGATTCCCGCTCACGGGCCACGAACACTGGTGACGATTATATGAACCGGTCCTGGGCCTCCCCTGGGTCGACTCGGCCTCAAATAAGTACCCGGTGCGGCGTGGGGTAGTAAACGTCGCCACTGGGAGAGACGCGGCGTTGGCCACCCACCCCCTCGTGTGTGCCGTGCCGGCCTTCATAGGCGCTGCTCCCTATAACAGCACTTGCCCCAACAGTCTGTTAAGGCTACACGGGGTGGGGGGGGGGGAATCTTCCTCCATGCGGAAAGGGAGGAACTCGCGGGTCGTGGCTCCGCGATGTCCGCTTTATAAGCGGGGGGGAGGAGGGGGGGTGGTGTCCTTCCCCCCCTCCCCACCCCCCCGCGAGATTTTCCTCCCGGACGGAATCTCCGGTGGCGACGATGACGACGCGACGGCCTATCGTTTGATCGTGATGGGAGAGAGATAAAAGAAAAGAAAAAATAAAATCTGTCCGATTCCTCCTTGGTGGTGGGGTAGGCGAGGATGTGGAGTGGGGGGGGGGGGGGGGGGGGGCGGCACGGGTTGCGGCTGGCCCTGCACCGGACTCACGCGAGCGGCGACCCCTCCGGGCAGGATGGTTTTGACGACCACGCCGGTGCCCTTGCCCCCGACGATGCCGAAGCCGAGCCCCGAGCCGTCGTTGGTCAGCTCCACCGTGTCCACCGCCCGCTCCCAGCCCCACGGCGGGACGTCGCCCTCCTGCCGCGCCGTTGACGGTGACGGCGGTGGGTTGGGGGCACAGGTGATAATAATCATTTCATTCATATAGCGCTTCTCATCAAGGATCTCAAAGCAGTTTAACACGTCGGCTTTCGCGACCAACATCATCCAAGATAGGGCTTTTCGTTGGGTTACATTTGGCTGTCGCCTGATGATGCTGGTTGTTGTCATCACCAGCGAAACGTCACGGTACTGGAATTGTAAACGTTGTAGTGGGGTTGCTCTCCAACACACAACCGGTGGGTGCTGTACTCGTAACGAATTGGCCACGTTTGGTTGATGTGACAAACTCCTTACTAACTTGGCTGTGTCGGATGGTGACACAGCCAAGTCTCTGTCATGGATCTCAAAGCGCTGTAAACGACAGCAGCAGCAGCAGCAGCAGGCACTCGGCATGAAAAACAATTACATTACAAGTACGTTTTAAAAATCCGTGTCGCCAAATGAACTAAAGGTTAAAAAAGTGGATGCGTATGTAAATAGGTTTCAAGAGACATTTAAAAAAAAATCCACAGACTCCGAGAGAAATCCCTGATATCTCGTGGACGAGCGTTCCGTAGCCTGGGGGCTACACGGGGAAAAAAAATCTCGGTCTGCCATAGGCCGAAGAAGCCTCGATCTGAGAATGCAGAGAGATGATCTGCACCCTCCCACATTTTAGGGACCTTGAGGGGGACAAATGGGTGCAGCATTGTCAATGATGTAGGCTGCGTGTAAGATGGTTCACAGCTTTTTAAGGTAACAATACAGGTGACTCCTCTACTTACGAACATTTGACTTAAGAACTTTCAGAGGTACGAACAAACCTGGTCCGTATGTCCAGTTGCCCGTTCGGACCGAGAGTCGTATTTTACACCGCCGCGCAACAGATGGCGGTGGTGGCATCTACATCCACAGTACGTGAAGAACCAGTGGCATCTACATCTGCAGTAACCTGAAGAACCAGTGGCATCTACATCTGCAGAACATGAAGAACCAGTGGCATCTACATCTGTAGAACGTGAAGAACCAGTGGCATCTACATCTGCAGAACGTGAAGAACCAGTGGCATCTACATCTGCAGAACGTGAAGAACCAGTGGCATCTACATCTGCAGAACGTGAAGAACCAGTGGCATCTACATCTGTAGAACGTGAAGAACCAGTGGCATCTACATCTGCAGAACGTGAAGAACCAGTGGCATCTACATCTGCAGAACGTGAAGAACCAGTGGCATCTACATCTGCAGAACGTGAAGAACCAGTGGCATCTACATCTGCAGAACGTGAAGAAGCAGTGGCATCTACATCTGCAGAACGTGAAGAACCAGTGGCATCTACATCTGCAGAACGTGATGAACCAGTGGCATCTACATCTGCAGAACGTGAAGAACCAGTGGCATCTACATCTGCAGAACGTGAAGAACCAGTGGCATCTACATCTGCAGAACGTGAAGAACCAGTGGCATCTATATCTGCAGAACGTGAAGAGCCAGTGGCATCTACATCTGCAGAACGTGAAGAACCAATGGCATCTACATCTGCAGAACGTGAAGAACCAGTGGCATCTACATCTGCAGAACGTGAAGAGCCAGTGGCATCTACATCTGCAGAACGTGAAGAACCAGTGGCATCTACATCTGCAGAACGTGAAGGGCCAGTGGCATCTACATCTGCAGAACGTGAAGAACCAGTGGCATCTACATCTACAGAACGTGAAGAACCAGTGGCATCTACATCTGCAGAACGTGAAGAACCAGTGGCATCTACATCTGCAGAATGTGAAGAATCAGTGGCATCTACGTCGACAGGAGATTATAGAACTTTTAAAGCCATTCCCCCAGATCTTGAGGGGAGGGCAGCGCAAGTGTTCGACACTTCACGTGGCCGTAACGTGCACAAAGCCTGGCACAAGCGCTGTGGTGACGTCACCGCCACTCATTGGCAGTTGGTGTTGTGTATGTGTGAGTGTGTGAGTGCTTATTAAGACGAGCTCCGGTTTGACAGCAGAGGAAGCCACCTGGTCCGTCGCTCCACACGACGCTTCGGGTCTTCTCGGCCACTGTCATGCCCTCCCTTCTCTACGCCTGCGAGACGTGGACCCCCTTCTAATGGAGCATCTGCGCCGGTTAAAAACACTCAGGCTGGCCCTGCCTACGAGATCCATCCTGGGTTTAACCTGCAGGCTGGATTAAAGTGTGAGGAGCTCACGAATCCTTGAAAGATCTGGAAACAGTTTCCCCCATCATCGGTGAGCTCCTCCGGCAGCCCCCGCATGCCCAACCACCACCGCGTGGCCAAGCGGCTTCCGTTTGGCCGGATAGAGGGGGGCCCTAAACTGGCACGCGCACACACACGAACACGAACACGCACACGAACACGCAGGGTGGAGGCCCCCTACCGCCGAGATGCCGCCGCCGCCGCCGCCACCGTCGTCGTCGTCGCCGCCGGGCCGGCACGGCGGGCGAGCGACGAGCAGCGTGACGGGGCCCGCGGCCTGTTGCAGCAGCGACACGGCGCACGCGTGCGACACGCTCGTGTCCAGCGGCAGCCCGTTGATCGCCAGGATCTGGTCCCCTTCACGCAGCCGCCCGTCCCTGCCGTGCGGGGGGTGGGGGGTCAGGTCGGCCGAGAAAGAAAAAAAAACGCAAAGTTACCGCCTCCCTTTCAGAGGTGCCCGCTACTCGCTATCAGCACTTGCCCCAACAGTCTGTTAAGGCTACACAGGGGATCTTTGTCTTTGCGTGTGTGACTGCGTGACAGTTTGTTTCTGCTGTGGGCGCAGGACAAATCTAAGTTGTTGCTGTTGTTGTTGTTGGCGTGTCTTTGTGCTTGCGTACGCACACAAAGGCCAACACGAAGATCCGCCGTATAGCCTTCACAGGCTGTTGGGGCAAATGCTATGAGCGGGCAGCACCTATGAAGGCCGGCACGGTGGCACACGAGGGCCGCCTCTGTCTCCCCCGGTACTGATGTTCACAGCACCTCAGGCACACAAAGCTCATCCCTCTCAATATACACAAGCTAAATGTTCCCCGTGTAGTCTACACAGGCAAAGTGCTGTTAGCGAGTAACACCTTTAAAGGCCGAGACAGCACACGGGGGGGGGGGGGGGTCGGTGGACAGTGCCATGCCCGGCCCCCTTTGTCTCCCCAAGCGTGACAGGGCAGCAGGTACTCATTTGAAGGCCGAGTCGACCTAGGGGAGGCCCAGGACCGGTTAAGATAATCGTCACCGGTGATGGCTGCTCTCCACACCACGCACACACTCACAGACAGAGCCATTATTCCACAACAACGGTAATTACTCCACAGTAACATTGGCGATGGAGGTTTTTTGTTGTTTTACTGGCAGAGCACAAAGCAATTACCGACGCTCCAAATGTAATCAGCTAATGAGCGACGACCGGAGTGGTTTCTGTAAACGCTTCGCTTAAAGTTCCCGCTAACTGCTGCTCGCAAAGCAAAAGAGCAAGCAGCAGGAGGAGCAGCAGGAGGGATGGAAAAAATAGCGGCATCGATGAACCCCCAAATTCACTGGCTCGTTAAGCCGGCAACCACCACGATTAAATCGGTCGTTAAGCAGTGGGCGTTTCACGTCGTGCAAACGGAGGAACGAATGGCCGTTACAGACTTCACTGGGCCAAGTCAAAAAAAATATCACAAATGCCATCCGGCTTCGACTCGCCATCTCTCGTGATCCTGCGACTTTGGACGCCAAGGCGACGAGATGTTAACTGCCTCGCCTCGTATACAGGAGGTCGTGGGTTCGATCCCGACCCCGGATGCCTGCTGTATATTTGGAGTCCGCGTGTCTCTTTCTCTCATCATCATCATCACGGTGGCTAGGAGATGTTAACTGCCTCACCTGGTCTACAGGAGGTCGTGGGTTCGATCCCGACCCCGGATGTCTGCTGTATATTTGGAGTCTGCGTGTCTCTCTCTCTCATCATCATCATTACGGTGGCTAGGAGATGTTAACTGCCTCACCTGGTCTACAGGAGGTCGTGGGTTCGATCCCGACCCCGGATGCCTGCTGTATATTTGGAGTTTGCGTGTCTCTCTCTCTCATCATCATCATCACGGTGGCTAGGAGATGTTAACTGCCTCACCTGGTCTACAGGAGGTTGTGGATTCAATCCCGACCCCGGATGCCTGCTGTATATTTGGAGTTTGCGTGTCTCTCTCTCTCTCATAATCATCATCATGGTGGCTAGGAGATGTTAACTGCCTTACCTGGTCTACAGGAGGTCGTGGGTTCGATCCCGACCCCGGATGCCTGCTGTATATTTGGAGTTTGCGTGTCTCTCTCTCATCATCATCATCACGGTGGCTAGGAGATGTTAACTGCCTCACCTGGTCTACAGGAGGTCGTGGGTTCGATCCCGACCCCGGATGCCTGCTGTATATTTGGAGTTTGCGTGTCTCTCTCTCATCATCATCATCATCACGGTGGCTAGGAGATGTTAACTGCCTCACCTGGTCTACAGGAGGTCGTGGGTTCGATCCCGACCCCGGATGCCTGCTGTATATTTGGAGTTTGCGTGTCTCTCCCTCTCCCACCGTGTTGGTCGTGTGGATTTTTCTCCGGGCCCTCCGGTTTTTCCTCTCCACGTATAGAATCGACGTCACCACGCGCATTTGGCTGCTGCTATAAATGTCCACGTGATGATGATGATGATGAGCCACTTCGCTGGGCGATCATTTGTGATAGTCGGGTCGCTTCTGAAAAATAAATTAATACCTCTGTGGGGCTTTGCCTGGTTGGATGGGGATGAATCTTGATTTGAAGCTTTCGTGACTGCAGGAATCCATACTCTTTGGTTCTTTCGGTAAAGTCACATTTCGGTCGCAACACACGGACGCTTGTGTTGCGACTGAAATGTCGTGATCTATTATTTTTTCTAACCTACGTGACTTTACCGAAAGAACCAAAGAGTATGGATGGAGATGGTTTATTGTTGTGTTTGTCTGTGTGTGGGTGATGTGTTTACCCGTCTTGTGCTTTGCACTACAATCGTGTTGTTGTATTGTTTGTTGTTGTAACGTTCTTATCCCGTACCCCTACTGGATTCCTCGTACAGTATAAATGTTCTGCTTCTGAAAAAGAGCTACTATGCAGCGGCTGCGTGGGCCTTACCCTGGTAGAATAAAAAAATATAAAAACACGTGAAATTTGTACCACTTTTCGATTAAACCGGATCAGGGTCGCCGCATTGGGCCCACTCGCGTCCGACCGCTGCAGGATGCACTTTGGCGACCTCGAGTGGCACTCGGCGCTGGCACTCGGCGCTGGCGTGCGCCATTGCCGCGAGGGGGGGGGGGGGGGGGGGGCGGTGGGGGGGCGTGTGACAAGAAAACTAAACGAGGGCAAAGATCTCCCGGGTAGCCTACCGGGGATATTTGGGTCAAGTGCCGTGAGCCCGAGTCGCCCCTAGGGCAGCGGTGGCCAACCGGCGTCCCCCCCAACCGTCGCCCCCCAAACGTTGCCCCCCCAACCGGCGACCCCCAACCGGCGACCCCCAACCGTCGCCCCCCCAACCAGCGACCCCCAACCGGCGACCCCCAACCGTCGCCCCCCCAACCAGCGACCCCCAACCGGCGACCCCCAACCGGCGCCCCCCAACCGGCGTTTGGCTCTTTTCAGAACTCATGGGGCAACTTCTTGGCTCCCGGTCCATTACAGCCGCCAACCTCTGCCCTGGGTGGGTGGGGGGGGGGTGGTAGCCAACGTTGGGGGGGGGGGGGTGGTAACCAATGGTGGGGGGGGGAGGGAGGCCACGCCCCAGAGCCGAACTCGGTCGCCCCGGTGATTTGGACGTTGTTCGTGGCGGCACCCCCCCGAGGCCCGCCGACGTGGCTCTACCGGTGAGCTGTGCCGCCCAGGGCGATGTCCCGGACGAAGATGCCGAGGTCGCCCCTCTCGTCGCTGCGCAGGCCGGCCACGCGGAAGCCCAGGCCGCCCGGCGTGCCCCCACGCGGCCTCTGCAGCTCCACGCACTCCACCACTCGCCCCTGCAACAACAAAAAAAAGACTGTTGGGGCAAAAGCAGGGATGGCCAGCACCACGCCCGGCCGCCTTTGTCTCCCCAGTGGTGATGTTTACTGCACACCGCACCAGGTACTCATTTCAGGTTGAGTTGTACACAAAGACAAAGATCCCCCACATAGCCTTAACAACCTGTTGGGGCAAGTGCTGTTAGCGAGCAGCACCTACGAAGGCCGGCACAGCACACACAGAGAGTGGGTGGCCAGCACCACGCCCGGCCGCCTTTGTCTCCCTCGTGGCGATGTTTACTGCACACTGCACTAGGTACTCATTTGAGGCTGAGACGACCTAGGGGAGGCCCAGGACCGGTTTAGATGATCGCCACTGTCGTTGACCGTGAGCGGGAATCGAACTCGGGTCGCCGAGATCGTAGCGCAGCTCTTACAACACAGCACTGTGGCTTGAAGACATGAGCCACTATGGACCGTATCGTAAACCCAGAGAGATACAAAGAGACCCAGCGACCCATAGAGATCCAAAGAGACGCACAGAGATGTATAGAGACTCATAGAGATACATGGAAACCCTTAGAGATACATAGAGACCCATAGAGACTCCCAGAGATACAAAGAGACCCAGAGAGACTCACAGAGATACATAAAGACCCTTAAAGATAGAGACCAATAGGGACTCACAGAGATACATAGAGACCCATAGAGAAACATAGATACCCATAGAGACTCGCAGAGATACATAGAGACTCACAGAGATACATAGAGACCCTTAGAGATAGAGACCCATAGGGACTCACAGAGATACATAGAGACCCATAGAGACCCCTATCTGTCTCTGAGTCGATGAGCGAACATGGCTCATCACTTGCTCGCAAGCACGCACGAACGGACGCCTGGACGGACGCACCGCTACCCTCACCTGCGCCATCTCTTGCACCAGCAGCCCGAAGCCGGATGGCTCGCCGCACACCTGCGCCGAGGTGAGCACCGGCGAGCGGGAGCACGGCACGGCCGTCGCCGACAGCCCCAGCTGGTCCGCCACGCCGAACTCCAGCTCGCCGGGCAGCTGTGTCGCCTGTGGCGCCATGGTGGTGAGATGTTAACTACCTCGCCTGGTGTACAGGAGGTCGTGGGTTCCATCCTGACCATGACGCCTGCTGCTGCTGTATATTTGGAGTCTGCGTGTCTCTCTCTCTGTGGTGAGATGTTAACTACCTCGCCTGGTATACAGGAAGTCATGGGTTCCATCCCGACCCTGACGCCTGCTGCTGCTGTATATTTGGAGTCTGCGTGTCTCTCTCTCTCACTTTGGTGAGATGTTAACTACCTCGCCTGGTTTACAGGTCGTGGGTTCCATCCCGACCCTGATGATGCCTGCTGTATATATGGATTATAGAGGTTTTTGGATTAGATTACGTAAATATAAATGCGTCATTAAACCCGCCACCACCCGACACAGCCAATTAGTAAGGTTTGTCGCGTACGCAAAAGACATGCCAATGCGTTACTGGTACATCGCACCGGTGTGTTAGAGAGTAAACCCACAACAAGATGTTGTGGGTTTACTCTCTAACTCTCCAACTCTCCAACTCTCCAACACCGGTGTGTTAGAGAGTAAACCCACAACGAGATGTTGTGGGTTTACTCTCTAACTCTCTAACTCTCCAACACCGGTGTGTTTTAGAGTAAACCCACAACATCTTGTTGTGGGTTTACTCTCTAACACACCGGTGTTGGAGTCCGGAATCGAACCCAGACCCTTGTCGCTGCGAGGCGGTGACGAGTGGGTACCGCTGAGGCATTCTGCGCGGGTCTCGACTCTGTAGGGTGCAATTAATCTCTCTTATCGCTGCTGCGGCTGAATTCCAAGCGCAAGCCAAACAGAGCAACGGGTAACCTCACGGCTGAGCCCTTTAAACCCCATTACTGCCTTGAAAGGGAAACGGGAGAGCGTGCGGCCGTAACGTGATCCTTGCTGCATTGGCGAGGCGCAGAGACAAAAGATGGGCCCCGTGTATCCTGACCGGACTGTCGGGGCAAGCGCTGTTAGCGAGCAGCAGCAGCAGCGGCTATTAAGGCCGGCACTGTGGCACACGAAGGGGTTGGGCGGCCAGCGGCACGCCCGGCCGCCTTTGTCTCCCCGAGTGGCGATGTTTACGACACGCCGCAGCAGGTACTCAATTGAGGCTGCGTGGACCTCGGGGAGGAGGCCAGGATCGGTTCAGATAATCGTTGCTGGCATTGGCGGTGGTCGTGAGAGGGGAATCGAACCCAGCTCGCCGGGTTTGTAGGGCGCTACCCGTTGCGCTACCGCTCCCCACTGCCTACGTGCACACAACTACCACTCCACGCCATTCGCCACTAAGTGACGGTGACGTCACCACGGCGCCTGTGCCAAGCCAGGTGCACTTTGAGGCCGCGTGAAGTGTCGAAGGCGGTCACGGGACAGACCCAGGTGGCGCGGTGACTGAGATAAGTGGCAGATGCACCCAGCTGTGCCCCCCCCCCTCCTACTGTGCCACGCGGACACGTGCCCAACACGTACCCAACATGTACCTAACACGTACCCAACACCTCCCATCTGCTAACCAGCCCTCACCCCGGCGCCTTTTCTGTTTGCTTATTGTGCATTAAAAACATGAACACGTGTCCGAGGACACCCGTGCTATCCGCAGCGCTTCTGCCAGCCGGGACCACAGCCCGTCACGACCGCCACATATACACACACACGTGGGCCTCCAGACCCTCACGGTCTGGACAAATGAACATTCCTAGAATGCCACGGCAGAACAGTGTGGTGGGGGTGGTGGGGAGTGTGGGCGGGGCCGGTGGGTGGGTGGGTGGGGGTGGCACAGAGTCAGCGGCGGCCTGCAAAACAGTGGGAATTAATCTGGCAGGAGGGGAGCGATGATTTGCCGCGGCGGGTCATCCCAAGGGGGAGCAACCTTCGGAGTAATTTATGGAATGTGCCCATGACGACGCCAGCCACCCCTATCGTCGTCCCGTGCCCTGCCCTCCGTGCCGAACGGCGGACGCAGAAGGGATCACTTACGGGCCGCCCGCTGCGAAACGCGCGGTACTCGCACGGTCCATGCACCGCACGGGCATCTGTGAAACAAAGCTTTGTAGCTCATCGGATTTCCCTAGGAAAAAAACAACGACTCTGTACGCTAATCGGAGGTCCGCGCGAAGGACTACAACACTAAACGCAACAAGCGGGCCCGGAAGAAACGAGTTTGTCAATCTGTACTCTTTGGCTCTTTCGGTAAAGTCACGTAAATAGAAAAATAAATAATAGATCACGACGTCTCGATCGCAACAACAAGCAATCGTCTTCAGGTGAGAAACAGAAACAAGCCGCTGTGACGGAGCATTATATAGATCCGAGGAGGGGGAGAGTCTATATAATGCCCCGTCACAGCGGACTTTACCGAAAGAACCAAAGAGTATGAATTCCTGCAGTCACGAGAGCTTCAAATCAAGTTTGTCAAACTAGACGATGGTTAAAAAGTGCACCGTAGCCACCAGTGGCCTCCGAATATCGGAAGGGAGAGAGCGGTCCAGACGGCCGCAGGAGCAGCAGCATCTGAAAGCGCCGCTCGACGACGACGATGAACGGCGACCGCCGCCTTCGTTTCGACGGCCGAGCCGAATGGCGCCGCCGCCGTGGTCGCCGCCGGCCGCCGCCACCGCGAGGATGACGACCGGAGCACGCGCCGCGATGGATGTCCATTTACGATTCCGACTTAGCTTTTGCCGACCTCACCTTGTCACGCAGGTGCCGGACGGAGCTCTGCAGGCGCAGGATCTGCTGGAAGAGGGGGCTTTCGAGGGTGGCCCGCAGGGCGCCGAGCCGGCGCTCGCACACGTCCATCGCGTTGCCATCCCCGCCGCCGCCGTCGTCGTCGTCGTCGTCGGCGGCACCACCGCCGCTGGCGTCGCCGTCGCCGGCGCTCAGCTCGCGGAGCCGCGCCTGCAGCCGCTCCACGGCAGCCACGGCACCCTGCAGGTCCGCTGGGTGCCACCAACCGAGAGACCGCCGGCGAGGGTTCAAATACCCAGAGAGACCGCCGGTGAGGGTTCAAGTACCCAGAGAGATCACTGGAGAGGGTTCAAGTACCCAGAGAGATCACTGGCAAGGGTTCAAGTACCCAGAGAGATCACTGGCAAGGGTTCATGTACCCAGAGAGACCGCCGGTGAGGGTTCAAGTACCCAGAGAGACCACTGATGAGGGTTCAAGTACCCAGAGAGATCACTGGCAAGGGTTCAAGTACCCAGAGAGATCACTGGCAAGGGTTCAAGTACCCAGAGAGATCACTGATGAGGGTTCAAGTACCCAGAGAGATCACTGGCAAGGGTTCAAGTACCCAGAGAGACCGCCGGCAAGGGTTCAAGTATCCAGAGAGATCACTGGAGAGGGTTCAAGTACCCAGAGAGACCGCCGGCAAGGGTTCAAGTATCCAGAGAGATCACTGGAGAGGGTTCAAGTACCCAGAGAGATCACTGGCAAGGGTTCAAGTATCCAGAGAGACTACTGGAGAGGGTTCAAGTACCCAGAGAGATTACTGATGAGGGTTCAAGTACCCAGAGAGACCTCCGGTGAGGGTTCAAGTACCCAGAGAGATCACTGATGAGGGTTCAAGTACCCAGAGAGATCACTGGCAAGGGTTCAAGTACCCAGAGAGATCACTGATGAGGGTTCAAGTACCCATAGAGATCACTGGCAAGGGTTCAAGTACCCAGAGAGATCACTGATGAGGGTTCAAGTACCCAGAGAGATCACTGGCAAGGGTTCAAGTACCCAGAGAGATCACTGATGAGGGTTCAAGTACCCAGAGAGATCACTGGAGAGGGTTCAAGTACCCAGAGAGATCACTGGTGAGGGTTCAAGTACCCAGAGAGATCACTGATGAGGGTTCAAGTACCCAGAGAGATCAATGGAGAGGGTTCAAGTACCCAGAGAGATCACTGGTGAGGGTTCAAGTACCCAGAGAGACCGCCGGCAAGGGTTCAAGTATCCAGAGAGATCACTGGCAAGGGTTCAAGTACCCAGAGAGATCACTGATGAGGGTTCAAGTACCCAGAGAGATCACTGGTGAGGGTTCAAGTACCCAGAGAGATCACTGATGAGGGTTCAAGTACCCAGAGAGATCACTGGTGAGGGTTCAAGTACCCAGAGAGATCACTGGTGAGGGTTCAAGTACCCAGAGAGACCGCCGGCAAGGGTTCAAGTATCCAGAGAGATCACTGGAGAGGGTTCAAGTACCCAGAGAGATCACTGATGAGGGTTCAAGTACCCAGAGAGATCACTGGTGAGGGTTCAAGTACCCAGAGAGATCAGCAGACCACTACCCCACCACCACCTCACCACCAACCCACCACCACCTCACCACCACCAGACAACAACGATCGGAAAAGCGACGCTCGTCAACATTTTATGCACCTGGATTTTCCGGCATTCCTCCTGCGGTGCGTTTGATGCGCCGGTGCGATCTGGTGAAGTAAAGAAGAGACGGGGGGGGGGGGGGGGAGGTCAAACCTGCGACTGCCTCGTGACGTTGTCTATTAAGGTATCTACTTGCTTTTTAAATATCTTAACACCTCCTGGGTAAAAAAAACCCCAAAAAACACCAATTCTTTTTTTTTCATCAATACTGAGTCGTGTTTGTTTTTTTACAGAATTAGAACAACAAAAAAACGGCTCTTCTTTGTTATTTGAGGTTGCCCCTGGTCATGGAGGTTGCTTGACCATACTTCACCGTGGCTGGTCAGTGGGGGTTTAGTGAGGGTGGGTGGGGGGGAGAGAGAGAGAGAGAGGGGCCCGGAGCCGGTTCAGATGCCACTCGCAGCTGACGTGAGCCGTGGTTGGGAATGAAACCACGACCGCCGGTTCCGTGGCCAAGAGCTCTTTTTCAGAAGCGACCCGGCCAGGAATGACAGCCCAAGGAAGTGGCGTATCATCAAGTGGCTTATCATCGCGTGGAAATTTATAGCAGTAATATAATGGAAATGATCTCAATGCGTAGATTCACACAGAAAGCCATAGGCTCGCAGAGAGACCCATAGACTCACACAGAGACCCACAGAACCCCCCAGAGACCCATAGATTCACAGAGAGACCCATAGACTCGTGTAGATACACAGACAGATCCAGACTCAAGACAGAGACCCACAGAGATCCACAGACTCACACGGAGACCCATAGATTCACACAGAGACCCATATAATCACACAGAGACCCATAGAATCGCCCAGAGCACCCATAGACTCGTGTAGATTCACAGAGAGACTCAAAGACTCACCAAGGAAAGGAACGTGCGGAGGAGAATGTGGGAGGTTATCGCCCAGAAGCGGGAATTCACATCGGTGGCGACAGCAGCACGAGCAATGAGAGGTTTGGCTTCGGATGGGGGCAGGGCGCGGGGGGGAGGAAACCGGATGAAACGCGCAACAGCCGCTCACAGATGGATTCAAGAATCCAGCGCGGCACGAGGCCCGCGCCAGCCCCTCATGACGGCGGCCGAGAATGGCATGGGGGGGGGGGGCAGCGGTGAGACTCCAGGTGGCTCATTTTTTATTTAAATGACCCCTGTAACTCAATCGGTTGTGACAACGGGAAGCGCTCCAAGGCGCGCTTCCCGCGTTCGTCAACCCGGTGCCCAGCATGGTGAAGTATGGTCAGATAATTCCTGTGAACCGTCTGCTATGTAAGGGGGGGGGGGGGGCTGGGGCCTTCATCCAGCAGTGGATTGAGCGTGAATCAAACTCGGGTCGCCGGGTTCGTAGTGCAGTGCGCTAACCACTGCACCACCGCTCTCCCCAAAGATCCCCCGTATAGCCTCAACAGACTTTTAGGTGCAAGTGCTGTTAGCGAGCACCTATGAAGGCCGGCACGGCACCTGAGGGGGTGGGTGGCCAGCACCACGCCCGGCCACCTTTGTCTCCCCGGTGGCGATGTTTACTACACACTGCACCGAGTACTCATTTGAGGCTGAGTCGACCTAGGGCAGTAGGTCCAGGACCAGTTCAGATTATCGTCACTTCGTGTTAGCCGCGAGAGGGAATCGAACTCGGGTCGCCGGGTTCGTAGTGCAGTGCGCTAAGCGAAGCACCACCGCTCTCCCGACAACCACAGTCATCATTATGATCACCACCACTACCGTCATCATCACCACTGTCATCATCATCTTAACCGCAACAGCAGTCAGCAAATAAGCAACCACTTGTGGATTAATCAATGCATGGCGACGCCTATGACAACAAGTCTATTGACAACAAACAACGACATCACCACAACCACCATCACCTCCATCAACCCCAACACCAGCAGCACCATCAAAGACAAAGATGCCCCGTATAGCCTCAGTAGACTCCTGGGGCAAGTTGTGCTAGCGAGCAGCACCTATGGTTAGCCAGCACCACGCCCCACCGCCTTCGTCTCCCTGGTGGCGATGTTTACACACACCGCACCAGGTACTCATTTGAGGCTGAGTCGACCTAGGGGAGGCCCAGGACCTGTTCAGATAATCATCACTGGGTGTTGGTGGCCGTGAGCGGGAATTGAACTCGGGTCGCCGGGTTCGTAGTGCAGCGCGCTAACCGCTACACCACCGCTCCCCAGCATCACTGCCACCACCACCACCACCAGCGTCATCAGCAGCAACATAATCACCATCACCCCCACAATAATCACCATCGTCATCATCAATCACCACAACTTCCATCGCTACCACCACCCACCATTACCACCATCATCACCACCCATCATCATCACGACCACCATCACCACCCATCATAATCACAACAACCACCACCACCACCACTCATCATCACTACCATCATCAGCACCCATCATCACCATCACTACCACAATCACTATTACCACCATCACCAACCCATCATCACCATCACTACCACAATCACTACTACCATAATCACCAACCCATCATCACCATCACTACCACAATCACTACGACCACCATCACCAACCCATCATCACTACCACAATCACTACCACCACCATCACCAACCCATCATCACCATCATTACCACAATCACTATTACCACCATCACCAAACCATCATCACTACTACAATCACTACTACCACCATCACCAACCCATCATCACTACCACAATCACTACCACCATCACCAACCTATCATCACCATCACTACAACAATCACTACTACCACCATCACCAACCCATCATCACTACCACAATCACTACTACCATCATCACTAACCCATCATCACCACCATCACTACCACAATCACTATTACCACCATCACCAACCCATCATCACTACTACAATCACTACTACCATCACTAACCCATCATCACCATCACTACCACAATCACTACGACCACCATCACCAACCCATCACCCCCCCACCATCACCCCCCATCATCACACCCACCACCACCACCGCAACCAACACCACCACCATCACCCCCCACCATCACCAACCCATCATCACCACCCATCACCACCATCACCCCCCACCATCACCACCCATCACCACCATCACCCCCCACCATCACCACCCATCACCACCATCACCACCGCCTGGAGTAGCCGCAGCAGTAGCAGCAGCAGCAAGTCACGACACTTGCGCCCCGCCGAGGCCTGCCCGGCCTGCCCGGCCTGCCTCAGCCAGCCGCTGCTAACAACGCAACCCCCGCCATACCGTCCCCTGCCCTGCCTGCTGCTGCTGCTCGTCGTTGTTGTTGTCGTTGTTGTTGTTGTTTGTGGATGGTGGTGGGTCAGCGATGGCGGCCGAGTCGTCGCCATGACGACGACTCGGCCGCCAAGTTTTTTTTTTTTAAAAAAACTTCTTCGCGTTTCGTCGCGCTCCGCGATGGAGCCTCGCGCTCCGCGATGACCGCTTAAGGTTCCGCCGTCGCCCGCTGTTTGTTTGTTGTTGTTTGTTGTTTGTTTGTTTTCTTAATGAACGAACGAGGTACAAACCTGACCGACGACGATTGATCCAAGAGCTGCCACTCCTCCTCCGATCGGTCCCGTTAGAGTGCTGGGTGGGGGCAGCCCACACCACGTGACCCAGCCGGGTCAACCGAGGGGCGGGGGCCGCCGGGGGAAGCGGCGGGGGGAGGGGGGGGGAGCGGTGGCGCAGTGGTTAGCGCCACCGAACGCACAAAATAAAAACCAGGGCTGGCACGGCCCGGTTTTATTCATTCGGGTTTTAATCGGTTTTTATATAAAGCCGGAGCACCTGCATCCTGCCCGAATCCGGTTTTATTCGGTTTTTTTTAATTAAAGTTAAGTCGGGATTTCAGTCGCACGCACCCCATTAGCGTTCAGCTCCTGGCCAAGCGGAGGAAGACCCCTTCGCTAGAGTGGTGGCTGACCGACGGTAGCGACTATCCCGCGCTCCAGAAGATCAGCCATCAAACTGTTCAGCATGGCCACGTGGACCGCCGCTGCTGCTGCTGCTGCGTCTGAGCGGAACGTCTCGACGCTGGGATTTATCCATTCCAAGTTGAGGAAAGAGCCTGGCGCCCAACGCGGTCGAGAATCTCGTCTTCATCAAGTCGAACCTCAAGGCGTTCCACGACTACCCGACGACGCCCGACGACAACGCCGAGTCCAGCGGCGAGGGCGACGACGACGAGGAGCAGGATTGAAGTGTGCACGAGACGCCGATAAAAAAAACAGGTTTTAAATCGGCAAAATCGGGTTTCATTCCATTAAAACCAATACCCCCGATTTGTCGGGCAAAAAAATCGGGTTTTTCCGACCCTTGATAATAAAAACCCAGGGACGTGCGGTTAGGGGAGGCAGAGCCTCAGCTGTCATACTACAATGCAAATAGCTGTTATGAAAAGTAAAAAAAAGAATAATCAAATAAAATAAATATGAAGAATTTTCCACTGATCTGTGTTATAAATGTCATTTCTGTACGATTCCAATCACTTTTAGAGTCAAAATCGCCAAATTTGCGGAGCTCCGCTGCAAATACCGGAAGAGACGAGCGGTGAGGCAGCGACGAGTTCAGCCTCCCCTCTGATTGCGCAACCTCTCAGTAACGGGATGGAGCGTGGGCAATAAGCGCGTGACCGTTACTATCTCAGTGTGTGTCACCAATGTAATGTTTGTAGACCCCTTCATTTCACGTCCTCGCCTTCCATACTCCAGGTAACTTATTTCACGTGTGTGTATGCAGTGGGTCAATAGCCAGAGGATAATTTCTGTGAGGCAACACGATATTTTATTGAACTGCTCTGAATGCAGGGTCCCTCACACAAAAAAGGGCTAACGGCCCCTTTCACCCGACACCTGACGGGGTATGGCCCCCGGGCCACACTGCCGCCTAACACTGGGACCACTCTAACTCTTAGCCCTCCTGCTAGGGGCCCGAGGTTGAGGCCACGCTGACCCGACCGTGCCAAGGTCTCTGGGTCCTGACCACTGGCGTCACTCAGCTCCGGCTCTTAGAAGGACAGCGGAGCTTGGGGTCCTGGGTCCTATCCTTCAGGAACCTATCCTCCCCTGACCGCTGGTCTCGCTCAGCTCTGACCGTTAGAAGGACAGCGGAGCTTGGGGTCCTGGGTCCTATCCTTCAGGAATCTACCCTCCCCTGACCGCTGGTCTCGCTCAGCTCCGGCCCTTAGAAGGACAGCGGAGCTTGGGGTCCTGGGTCCTATCCTTCAGGAACCTATCCTCCCCTGACCGCTGATCTCGCTCAGCTCCAGCCCTTAGAAGGACAGCGGAGCTTGGGGTCCTGGGTCCTATCCTTCAGGAACCTACCCTCCCCTGACCGCTGGCCTCGCTCAGCTCCGGCCCTTAGAAGGACAGCTGAGCTTGGGGTCCTATCCTTCAGCTCCGTCTTTGGGGGACGTCCATAAATGACGTCACGCACCTGGGGGGGTGGGGGAGGGTCAGACATTTGTGACGATGTGTGACGAGGGGGGGCGGGGGGGGTTGAGAAATGTGACATCACATCAAAATGCGCAACTTTAAATGAATATAGACAACACGTTCTACTTATATTCTTGGTTCTTTCGGTAAAGTCACGTTGAATGTAAACAATAAAATAATAATATATATAAAACAATAAAATTCTTGCCGTTGGTTTTCACACCTGATGATGACTGCTTGTGTTGCAGTCGAAACGTCGTGAGAATTTTATTGTTCTATATTTATTTTATTATTTTATTGTTTCCCTTCAACGTGACTTTACCGAAATAACCAAGAATATGAATCACTGCAGTCACGAAAGCTTTAAATCAACGTTCTACTTAATTAAATAGACTTTTTAATAAATGTTTTCTCCTACAACATCAGAGTGCAGCGCCACATTAAATACGCACTACAGTGACAATAGTTTAAAGCGAATTGAAGCATGTTTTATTTTATTTGCGGGGGGTGGGGGAAGAGCTTTGTGACGTCATATTTGAGGGGGGGGGGTCTGACTTTTTGTGACGCCGTGTGACGACGGAGGGGGGGGGGTCAAAAATCATCCAAAAACGCGTGACGTCATTTACGGACGGTCCCTTCGGTCTTCGGCTTGGAGATGACTGAGCCAGACCCTTCAGAGGCCCGGCTTATATACAGGTCCGTGGCTTGCTCCGCCCTCGCCACGCCTCCCTTCCAGAACATTCTGGAAGGTGACATCATCCCCCAGTCCCCCCCACCCGGGGTTTGGGGATTGTGCCCCAGGGTCCCTTATCCCAGGGATTACCGTTGGCCCCTTGGGCCACAGTCCTTCACATGAACGTGATCGCACTTCTGCCCCCTGTTGACGCGAAGGGGAAGCTACCCGCTAACAGCATGGGGAGTTTCGATTTAAAGCTTCAGTGACTGACTGCAGGGATTCATCTTCTTGTTTCTTTCGGTAAAGTCACGTAGAATGGAAGTAAAATATAACCTTGAGATCCTTCAGTTCGTTCACATGAAGAAGGCTACTTGTGTTGTGGCCGAAACATCGTGAGATTTTTTTTATTTCATTATGTTTTATTTTTATTATTTTATTTCCATTCTACGTGGTGACTTTACCGAAAGAACCAAGAAGAGAAAAAAAGAGCATGGGGAGTGTCGATCAATGCCTCTCCGTGTCTAACACGCCCCCCTCAGTGAGGCCACGCCCCCTCAGTGTGGTGTGAATCTGGCTCTGACATGAGCCAGTGCCTCCCCAGCCATTGACCTCACCGCACCCCTCCCCGGTCAAGCGATGGGATCGAAATCGGCGGAATATTTGTTTGTTACCTGGAGAAATCCGATGAGCTGTGTGCGTGTTTTTTCTCTCTCTCTCTTTTCTTTCACAGATGTCCGCCAGAGAGAGCCACGGACTCACACAGAGACCCACGGACTCACCCAGAGACCCGTAGACTCATCACATGGAGACCCATGGACTCACACAGAGACCCGTAGACTCATCACATGGAGACCCACGGACTCACACAGAGACCCACGGACTCATCACATAGAGACCCGTAGACTCATCACATGGAGACCCATGGACTCACACAGAGACCCGTAGACTCATCACATCGAGACCCGTAGACTCATCACATGGAGACCCACGGACTCACACAGAGACCCGTAGACTCATCACATGGAGACCCGTAGACTCATCACATGGAGACCCATGGACTCACACAGAGACCCGTAGACTCATCACATGGAGACCCATGGACTCACACAGAGACCCGTAGACTCATCACATGGAGACGCATGGACTCACACAGAGACCCGTAGACTCATCACATGGAGACCCACGGACTCACACAGAGACCCGTAGACTCATCACATGGAGACCCATGGACTCACACAGAGACCCGTAGACTCATCACATGGAGACCCACGGACTCACCCAGAGACCCGTAGACTCATCACATGGAGACCCATGGACTCACACAGAGACCCGTAGACTCATCACATGGAGACCCACGGACTCACACAGAGACCCACGGACTCATCACATAGAGACCCGTAGACTCATCACATGGAGACCCATGGACTCACACAGAGACCCGTAGACTCATCACATCGAGACCCGTAGACTCATCACATGGAGACCCACGGACTCACACAGAGACCCGTAGACTCATCACATGGAGACCCGTAGACTCATCACATGGAGACCCATGGACTCACACAGAGACCCGTAGACTCATCACATGGAGACCCATGGACTCACACAGAGACCCGTAGACTCATCACATGGAGACGCATGGACTCACACAGAGACCCGTAGACTCATCACATGAAGACCCACGGACTCACACAGAGACCCGTAGACTCATCACATGGAGACCCATGGACTCACACAGAGACCCGTAGACTCATCACATGGAGACCCATGGACTCACACAGAGACCCGTAGACTCATCACATGGAGACCCATGGACTCACATAGAGACCCGTAGACTCATCACACGGAGACCCATGGACTCACATAGAGACCCGTATACTGATCACACGGAGACCCATGGACTCACATAGAGACCCGCAGACTCATCACACGGAGACCCATAGACTCACACAGAGACCCATGGACTCACACAGAGACCCACAGACTCAAATAGAGACCCACAGACTCACACAGAGACCCATGGACTCACACAGAGACCCACAGACTCATATAGAGACCCACAGATTCACACAGAGACCCATGGACTCACAGAACTGCATCTGCGTGCTTTCAGATGCTGCTGCTGCTTCTGTGGCCGTCTGGAACGCTCTTCCTTCCTATTTTGGGAAGCCACTGGGAACTATGCATTGTTAAATCATCATCATCTAGATTGAAAAATCAAATTTTTTACAACTGCTTGGTGTTGGGTTCCGTTTGTTGTCCTTCCCCCGCATGCTCCGATTAGCGCGGTCGGCTTCGTACGGCGCAAAATAAGTCCAACATTCAAATTCATAGACTCACACAGATATCCGAAATAAGTCCAACACACATACAAATTCATAGACTCACACAGATATCCGAAATAAGTCCAACACACATACAAATTCATAGACTCACACAAATATCCGAAATAAGTCCAACGCACATACAAATTCATAGACTCACACAGATATCCGAAATAAGTCCAACACACATACAAATTCATAGACTCACACAGATATCCGAAATAAGTCCAACGCACATACAAATTCATAGACTCACACAGATATCCGAAATAAGTCCAACACACATACAAATTCATAGACTCACACAGATATCCGAAATAAGTCCAACGCACATACAAATTCATAGACTCACACAGATATCCGCGGAAATCACACAGAGACCCTTAGACTCACAGAGACCCATTTATTCAGAACTGTTTTGTGTGTGTGTGTCCTTGTTCTCCTTTCAGCACCCCCCCCCCCAGCGCACCTCCGACTATTCGCGCGGTCGGCCCCTACGTACGGCGCGAAAGAAGTCCAACGCGCATCGTGAACAACGCCGTGCACCCCACGTCCGAGGGAGAAGCCTCCACTCCACTCAACACCTCGCCGACCTGGCAAAGGATCGACGCGGAGAGACCCCGATGCAAGCGAAGCGGCGTGGATGTTTCACGACTTGGAGGAGGCAGGGAGCCTCTCACCGTTTTGAATCAGATGCCGCCTCCGAGCCGATCGATCGGCGGAATCTTCGCTCGAGGCCTCGTCCCGTTGCTCATCGACGATCGATGGAATCTTCGTTCGAGGCCTCGTCCCGCTGCTCATCGACGATCGATGGAATCTTCGTTCGAGGCCTCGTCCCGTTGCTCAACGACGATCGATGGAATCTTCGCTCGAGGCCTCGTCCCGTTGCTCAACGACGATCGATGGAATCTTCGTTCGAGGCCTCGTCCCGTTGCTCAACGACGATCGATGAAATCTTCGCTCGAGGCCTCGCCCCGCTGCTCATCGACGATCGATGGAATCTTCGCTCGAGGCCTCGTCCCGCTGCTCATCGACGATCGGCGGAATCTTCGCTCGAGGCCTCGTCCCACTGCTCAACGACGATCGATGGAATCTTCGTTCGAGGCCTCGTCCCGTTTCTCAACGACGATCGATGGAATCTTCGTTCGAGGCCTCGTCCCGCTGCTCATCGACGATCGATGGCATCTTCGTTCGAGACCTCGTCACGCTGCTCATCGACGATCGATGGAATCTTCGCTCGAGGCCTCGTCACGCTGCTTAACGACGATCGATGGCGATGCGATTCGACGAGGCCCCGGTCGGAGCGAGCCGACAAAATGGGAACGATTTGATTTTTAAACTTCGCCACTCATTTGTGACGAATTTTTTGCTTGGCAGTTTTCTGTGCGGATTTGTGTTGCCTGGGACTGTTGTTGTTGCTGTTGTTGTTGTCTTGGTGTGGTCTGGGACTGTCGTTGTTGTCTTGGTGTTGTCTGGCACTGTTGTTGTTGTTGTCTTGGTGTGGTCTGTGTGTGTGCATGGTGTAATAATTCTCGCGACTGGCGTCGTGAGCGGGGGAATCGGGACTTTTGCCGGGGTTCGGAGTGCAGCGTTGCGCTACCCGCTAAGCTACCGCCAGACGGCGCTAGAGCCACACACACAAAGATCCCCCAATTAGCCTTCACAGACTGTGGGGGCAAGTGCTGTTAGCGAGCACCTATGAAGGCCGGCACGGCACACGAGGGGGTGGGTGGCCAACGCCACGCCCGGCCGCCTTTGTTTTCCTAGTGACGGTGTTTACACATCGCACCAGGTACTCATTTGAGGCTGAGTCGACCTAGATGAGGCCCGGGACCGGTTCAGATAATCGTCACTGGTGTTGGCCGTGAGCGGGAATCGAACCCAGGTCGCCAGGTTCATCGCGCAGCGCGCTGACCGCTACACTACAACAACAACCGCCATTCGCCACTAAATGGCGGTGACGTCACCACGACGCTTGTGCCAGGCCATGTGCACCTTGAGACCACGTGAAGTGTCGAACGCCTGCTGGCAGGAGGTCACGGGGCAGACCCAGGTGCCACGGGTCGACTGACTGAGATGACCGAGATGGCTGGCTGATGCACCACCTGTGCCCCCTACTGTGCCAACCTGCTGTGCTTTAGCCACCCGGCGCTCCGCTCGTTGTTGTGAGCGTCGATCCTACGCCCTCCGTTGTTGTTGGAGGGCGACTGCCTCCAACTGCCCAGTAGCGTCCTTCACGCGCCTCCTCCACAGAGGCCGATCTTGACACCGCTGGTACCAGTCATCGGCAAGTCCACTCAACTCCACGTACTCCTGTACCACATCACTCCATCTCTTCTCTAGCCCGTGCCGCGACCGTTTAGCCCCCTCTATCCGGCCGAACAAAAGCTGTTTAGGTATGCGGTGGCTGAGCATGCGGGCTACATGACCCAGCCAACGCAGCCTTGCCTGCCGAAGGAGCTCACCGAAGGGACATTGCCCAGATCTTTTAAGGATTTGTGAGCTCCTCACACAATCCAGCCCGATGAAACCCAGGATGGATCGTAGGCAGGCCAGCCTAAATGTTTCTAACTGGCGAAGATGTTCCATTAGGGGGGGCAACGTTTCGCAAGCGTAGAGAAGGGAGGAGATGACCGTGGCCGAGAAGACCTGAAGCTTTGTGCGGAGCGACAGACCAGGTAGCTTACACACAGCGTTACGCAACCGATGAAAAGATATTGCCGCTCGACTGATTCGGAGTGAGACCTCTGCTGCTAAACCGGAGCCGGGGTGGAGTTTCCG